CTAAATTATTCACACTTTGCGGTACATGGCCCTTCAGGAAATGACATTATGGCAGTCAGAGAAGCATATCTTATATACATAGACTGGTCATGGTAAAAATAGATCGAGACCTGTTAAGTTACGCTATTTTTTGCTACAACTGATTATCCTCAGTTGTGTGCAGCGCACATTCGTGGCAGTAGCCTGTAAATAATCTGCAGCTTGATACCGGGGTTGTTACCAGCGAGGGGCAACGGAACAAGCTACTGAGCTCGATAGTTGATCTTGCCCAACACATTCGGCAGCACTTTGAATTTGTTTTTGCTCTCCAGGTTGTTCACCTGTCAACTTAATGATCAACTTGTGCTGGTTATTCTTATATGAGAATCACCTGTCTGTGAATATGACAACCTCTTGATGAGGTTTATGATCCGATTAACCACCAGAGTTCTGTCTTCTCTTCTTTACTCCTTTTGAGAAGTCAAATTCAGAGGGTAAGAGTAACCAAAATGTTAAAGGAATTCCGAATTTAGTTAAACGGCCACAATAACCTAGTTTGGTGTTGTGTCAGACAAGCCTATACGTAGACTAATCGGTGTCAATACCATATATGCCCAATATATGTCTATACGTCGTTATGATTATCTGTATACAGGTGTAGGTACCTGTTAATCTGGTAATTTTTTTTCCATCTTGGCTTCGTGTCTGTTAGATTCTCTGCTTGTCTATTTGCTTTCCAGTTTGTCAGTTTTCTGACATGCATTCTTGTCAGCTTTCCTGCTTGTCTGCTTGCTTACAACCTCTCAGTCGGTCTCCTTGCCTGTCTGCCTGGCCACTATACTGCCTGCCCAGACAGTCAAAAGAACATATAGCATGAGAGGGAATATTGTTTATTTTTCAAGGCATTAAGCATTAGTGGGCGTCGCATTCTGCCGGACCAATGTTTGCTGCTCCAGTCCACGTTGTTATTTAAGCTCAAAGTGTCCACACTACTACGCTTACTCTCCGGCAACAGATCCTCAAATAATGCTACAATGTACCTGTTGATTATCCTCAAATTTTACTATAACGTATCTATTAATTTTCTTCAAATTTTATTACATTGTACCTATTAATATGCTTCAATTTTTGCTACAAATTACCTACTTAAAATATTTGATATGTTCTTGTGGAAGTTGTAGTAGTAGCAAAGAGTAGGTTGTGGCTTTCGAGATGTAAAGAAGGGTGTGGATGAAGTTGTTGAGTATTTCGTGAAGTGGGCGTGGGGGGGGGGAATAAGTGTTGTGAATGTTATGGGGGTGGTCGTGGTTGATGTAGATGTTGGTGAGGTGGGCGTGAACACGTATGTCCATAACTGTGACTATAACCCGAGCTCACGTCGACACAGTCGAATCCCCGACCGTGACAGTTGTGGAAGCAGGAAAACGAATCTCCCTGAGGTAAAAATAGAATAAATCACAGTCCTGTGTGTTTGAGCAGGTCACCGTGTTTATCGCTGGTTGTAATGGCGCCGTGTTGGTCCTCGTTTCGTCCGTCGGAGCGATGTTTACAGCCCAACAACCCCAGCAAGGGTCTAGTTACGGTAGTGGAACATCCTGTATGTTTGTTTATAACCAGTCAAGTTCCTGATGTCTGTAATTTCGGCTCTTCTACGACGGCTTCTGCCTCAATGATACCAATCCACCCCAAGTTTGTTTTAAGTTTAGCAATTACCGATGATGATTTAAGACCAATTATCCTACAAACTAAAGTTCACAGTTTTGATTAAAAAGTATATTGTTATTTACGAGAGAAAAAACTGGAAATTTATATGGTGGTGTATGTTTTTTGAGGTTAAAATTGTACGTCAACTGGTTCGATGAGTGTTTGAAGTTCACCAGACAGAATTCACATTAGCTTATGACCCTCGTTTATATACTTAGCTTTTTTCCAAGTAACGAGGAGAAAAATGTTGTGTGTTAGCATACTCCAGCTATTTGCTTTGATAAAGTCACATCATTATTAACCAGTTGCATCTCGGTATATGAGACTCCTGGAGCGAACATAGAAGTCTAGTGTACACATTTACTGAATATCAGTAAAAAATTCTGTTAATTCTTAATTTTGCCCGAATTTCATAATGTGTATTTATCACATTAATGATCTAATGGTTTAAAAAAGGTATAAATATAATTAGAATACAACACAAGCGGGGAAATTGTCTGGATAAGGATAAGTGGTTTCCATTGAAAATGCAATAATGTTAATTATCATATCCTTATCTGACGAGGGAAGGATATCAATAGATGGTAGACATATTTTTCTATAACAAAGAGTTCTTTTATGATTTATAAAAACAAGAATGAATGTGGAGCATATATGCGATAAAGTAATACAAAACAAAAATTGGAGTAAATTACTATTGAATATATTGCAAGTATTCTGTAATGTAACAAACACTACAGTTTTGCAAAAAAAAAAATCTAAACGCTGAGTGTGTGAGCTAGCGTATTGCATGAGTGAACTGAGTTAGAAAGTCAGTGAGTGAGAGAATTGAATGAGTCAATGAGTGAATTGATGGTCAATTAACTCTGGTCAATGCTTGAACTGAGTTAGTCAGTGAGTCTATGAGTAAGTAACTGAATTAATTAAATGACTGAATTAAATAAATGAGTGAATGAATTAGTTAAAAAATCATATTTTAAATAATGCGGTAAAAAGTAAAGATATATATTAATTAAAAGAAAATTAGTCTAATTTAAGGCTCAATATCATAATTTCTAATTTGAATTTCTGACATTATTCACACTAGTGTTTATTTCTTGTATTCCTCAATTTTATCTCATTTGTATTTCTCACGTGTATATATGAACTTATATCTCACACTTGAATTTCACACTTAAATCTCTCACATATATTTCTCACGTGAATTTCTCAATTAAATTCGCGAATGTCACACAATTCACAGATCAATCATTACAAATGATAAACAAATAATAAAATCCTGTTTTACTTGAGAGGTAAACACAAATGTTATACTGATTTGTACGTGACCAAACAATCTTCCTGGGAAGGCTAACCAAATGTGTTCTGCTTACGTGGTTAAATTAATATCTAATGCTTGGGCATGTTAAATTACTAAAGTTCATTATAATTAAAGGTCAATGTTAAAAGTTAAACAAAACTGCTATCAGCAAGAGAGTGAATCCTCCCCCACCATCTTCACGTTTTAAAAATTTCAGATGTTGCTTTAAGATTTAAAAAGTAAAGTTTCGATCCCCGTTTGTCCAAGTGATTAGCACTGTTTCTTAACTTCGTCCTTCTATAATAACTAAAAACCTGCCATCATTTTCCTTCTAAATGCTATATGGTCATTCTGGCTTAACGCTCTCCTCTCCTGATAATAAATTAAGTTTATGATCTAAAGATCTTATTGTTTATTGTGTTCTGTATTTATCTTCTGGTGGGGTCAGCTATCAAGGTCACAATAGCAGAGGGCAGTTGGACACTGTAAACACTACTCCACGACACTCTCATGTCAAAGTCAGGCTTTCAGCGAAATCTAATCCAAGAAGAATAATGCCTTTAAATGCGTTGTTTGCCTGTGGTCGATCAGTCAAAGGTCAGCCGTCCAGTGGTCACTGGGCCTCAGATGAGCTTCCTCGGGCATTCTTGAGGAAGTAAAGTCTTTTTAACAAAATTTATTTTTTGGCGAGAAAAATATGTTTGGTGAAGTGATTTTAAAGGTGATGCTCTATCGTTAACATTACTTTCAGTAACGATTACAAATGACTTAAAACATTTTAATTGCAGCTGGACCAAAATAATTATCTCCTTCAAATAAATCAGTGAACACCATCTTGCTCATTTACGATGATACCGTAATTGCAAAAATATCCTGTATGTGACCCTGCTCATCACCATTAAAAAGAATAATTATAAATAGCGGTTTTATAGTCAGCTGAGATGGCACGTGCTGTGCCAAACTGGCTAGGTCATGGCAGCCTCACAAGAACGACTACAAATAACGTCAAAGGAGTCTGTGATATACCTTATAAACAGTGCTAATGCGATACGTGTTATTGTAATAACACGAATTACATTAGTTTTCCGGGAAGTAATTTTTTGTTTTTATATGTGGCAAGAGAGCGTAAGTATTTTAATATTTGAACGTAACTGTGAGAGTGATTCATTCTTGCTTCCAAAATATATATTGAAATTATGTGATTTTGACTGAGTAAATGTTTTTTATGTTGCGAATTTTAGCACGATACAATTATCCCTAATTGCCATATGACAAGTTTTTTCTGACAGTAAAAAGACCATTCCACATAACAGCTGTGTTGTATCACCTGTTTGTGATTGAAATGGACTTTACCAAGACTCACACGTGCTCACATTCAACGTTCTCCAGTCCTCGTTCAGTGTTGGAAAGGTTTATCAACCTATGAATGTTATTACAAGCCTCAATAACAGCACACTGAACAACCATCAGGTATACTTTAGAAGGTGAACATGGTTTAAGATTATATTAAACTCAACGTGCTCACCAAGACGCTAAATACAAGTCTGTGAATAAAAGAATCCCAAGATTTCTTTGTGATCTTCAGGGGGTGTAAGGGTGTGAACATCATTACCTGCTGACCAAAGTGTAGGCGGGGCATTCGTAAAATCTTGGTTAGGCACCGGTTCGGGCCTCCAGAACCTCCCAATGAATTCAGTAGACTTCCAGGTTGATTAACCTTTCTTCCTATCGTTGCTGAGTGGGTCCGGAAATCAACAGAACGCCGATTCAAATCACCTCATTGCCCCCAAAAACTTTTCTGATTTATTTATTAAATAAATAAATTTATTTATTTATTTAATTATTTATAAAAACAAGGATTTAGAACATTGTTACAAGAACATTGTTGGTTGTGTTATTGTTTTAGCGACTTTACTATTATTTATTTTCTGCATCCTTATTATAATTTGAATATAAGCTGGTATTCCTTATCAAAACACTGATCTTTCTCTCTCTGTGTCTGTTAATCAGATCCAGAATGGCAAACGCCGCTGGATTCCAGGACTCTGTTAAGAAGGTTTTGAATGCCCGCATCGCATCTAAAAAAGTAGGTAAGTTCGTCACCATATAAATAAGTTTGTAAGCTAAGTAGTTCAGAATCTAGTCGAACAAGCATCTTGGGTCACTTCAAGACGCAGGTTCGATCCCTCCATTCTACTCCAAAGATTTGCGAACAAAAATAATATATTTTTTTGTTTCTAGAGCATTTAGCTAGATGGTAGTCAGTGTTCAGTATCACAGTCGTCGTGGATTTTAGTATGTAACCGTCCAACGCTGTTCTCCCTGTATGTGCCAACTGTACCAACTACGACCTGGCCATGTTGGGCACGTGCCCCACAGTAAATATGGTGAAAAAAACATCAAATATCGTGAAAAGCCGCCTGGGCCATCCCCAGGAGGCTGCCCTTCAACCCCATACAGGCAGGCAGACAGAAAGGTATTCTGTCTGTCTGTTTATGTACATTTATAGATGTACATAAAATTATAATAGGTGTTAACCTTGAAGTGGGATCAGGTGGCGGATCAGGAGTTCACCCACTACAAGCCGTCTAAAAAGATAGGAGCAGGACATTGGGTAACATCGGGTGGAACAAGGTGGGTTACAATATGTGCTCCTCGGACGAGTGGACACACGGTGTGAGATTAGGTCAAGTGGCAACATTGGGGGTCACCAGTACATGAGATCACACTGGGTAGGGCCGCGATGACCTGCGAACTGAACATAAAATGAACCAGAAGTTATTGACTAATTTTGTGAATTTATTAGGCACTCCATACCCATCCTATGGGCGTTAATGGAAAAAGGATTTGAGCCACATAATGGGCTCAGGACCTGAACCCTACAACCAAAAGTTACCAAATTAATTTTGCATTGCAAGGTTAGAGAATAAATGATTAATAGGTAATCGAATAAGCTTTTTAATTACTAGTAGAGAGGTGAGACGTGCAGAGACAAACCCCAACCTTCAAAAAACACAAGTGAATACAAATAGTTGATTATTTCTTGTTGTCGGGAACAGGAAGCCTAATTTTAAGCTTATCGAGGTCACCCTAGGTCAACTACTGACCTTCCTCACGATGCAACCCTCAACAGTTGTTGAACTCTTTCTTACCTATTTTCCTGCTAGATGCACTGGGATTGAGCACGGGTCCCTAGATTGATGGCCGAGGACGTAGACCATTGTACTAGAGTCTGTTCTATTTGACATGTCTGCCTCAGGGTCACAGAGGCACAAGACTAGACTTCATTATGTGTCTTGAGCGCAGGGCTATAAATTTTGGAATGATTGTGGGAGATATTTGAGCAGCAAATATTGAAGTCATTTTGTATGATAACAGTCGTATTTGGCCCAAAGAAATACGTTATTTGCCTCGGAAAATACACTGATGAAAAGCAAATTAAAATAAAAATATATATTAGAAATAAAGAAATTTGTTGCGAAAATAAGAAGACAGAAGTACTGGAATACAAAAATGTACATGAAAATCTAACAAAATTGAAATTAGGTTCATGAAATGCATATTTCACGTGTGTGAGAGACTGGATACTGATCATCAAACTCCAATTATCAACTTCCATTAATCCCAATTACAATACGTTAAATTAACCACAATATAAAAATCAGTAAATTACGTATTTTATGAATATTAAGATGTTCACCAATGTTACACAATATCTATAAATTTTGTAAGATCGGATGTTATTTCTTCCTTATAATTTGACCACGAACAACCTGTTTCGTAAAGGAATGCCTAATGAACACAATACCAGCATAGATATTTTATTATGAATAATATAACAGGCTTGGTCTTTAAATGCAATAATAATAATAATAATAATAATAATAATAATAATAATAATAATAATAATAATAATATATCGAGATGAAATTCAGTGAATTACCTGAGATATGAATTTGAAACAGAAATGTATGTGAGGGGGTGAGGGAATGTAAACAAAAGGAAAATAAAAATTCAATAGCAACTACCAAACCAAATATTTACACAGCAGTTGGCAAACTTTGGAGGTGATAGGCAGAGCAGATATTGTACATGTTGTGTTAAGTGTGAGGCAGCTGACGGGTAGGCGGGCGAGGTGGACCAATCCTGCAACACACAACAAAATCACATGGTTATACCGTTATAACAACTCAGAACTAAGGTTGTATTACGTTCTGTCTTTATTGGGAAGCAGGTGTTGAACTGTTACGAGTGAAGGGAACTATTAGGAGGGAAATGCGTCAAATCATGACGACTATTTAGCACTGGGAAGGGGTCAGGAGGAGGACTTGCGATGGGACAAGGGAAAGGAATAGTGCTCAAACACTTGGACGGTTGGGAATTGAACGTCGACCTGCGTGAAACGAGACCGTCACTCTACCGACGAGAGAACAAAAGAGACCTGTTGAGAGAGTCTCCAGAATCTCTTTTGCCATCATCGCTGAAGAGTGGGGTACAAAAACAGCATGTTTGTAGCTGGGAGGTGTGGAGCTGGTACAATAGGTGCTGTGACACCTATTGTGTCACAGCCAGACCCTTTCTAACTTGGTATATTTCGCATTAAGGATTCTTTACAGAATCAGTAATCTTATAACCAAATTTTAAATGAGAAAATATATTCGCTATTTATTATGAATATTATAATAACTAAGTATTGCATATTACTGATATTACGAAGAATACAAAACAGATTACTTTTCACTTTTGGTTATATAATTTAGTTGTAATCAAGTGCTCAGATTGCATCTAGTAACTACTCCTCATCTTGTGCCCTGATCATGCCCAGTAACTACCCTTCATCTAGTGCCCTGATCACATCCAGTAACTACCCTTTATCTAGTGCCCTGATCACATCCAGTAGCAACCCCCTCACATAGTTCCCTGATCCTGCCCAGTAACCTGCCCCTCACATAGTTTCCTAGGGGTCACATTCGATGACCTTCCTCACTTGTTGACCTGGTTCCAGCTACCGTGACTTGACACAGTTGTCGTCTATCACCGGTTGCTAGACTCGTGTGAATCATCACGAGGGTGGCTCTGTATTCGTGCAGATTATGTGTTATGTCTGAAGCGATTGGTCTAGTCATTTGGTATTTATATACACTAAAACGTCTCATTAGTAGGAACGTTGCCCAGCCTCTTGGACCGTCGGGGATCAAGGGGCTATCAGAAACATTTCAGGGAAACGTTTGAAAGTTCTTGTCTGAAACGTCGGAAATCACATATGCTCGGTTTCAGCCTCGCCAACATGCCGTGCGGGACGTCGGGTTTAAGGCGTCTCGGTCACTTTGTGTCTGGATTGGTTCAGGCACGTGACGGATCCTGTTTAGTTCGGTCACGTGTTCAGGAAGCAGCAAAACATCCCATATTGTATTAATATTATGGAAATCTGCTATATTGAAGTCAGTCAGTAAGCCTCTGTACATCTATATTTGTTGCATCTACTTGTATTTTAACCGTAAAAATTAAATGTGTTTAATAGAACTAGAGATATGTTGAATAGTGATGGGTTCCTAATAACGTCGTATTCAATACTATAAATTTGTTTGATCAATGATTGTGGTCAGAATTAAAAATTATCTAAATAATTTTAAGGAATTTTTAATTTTGTCTTGTGAAAATTAGGGATTAGTTACAAAAAATAATGGATGTCACAAAAAATGTTGAATTATCCATGTAATAACATTAATTTATTTCTTTATTGGAAAAATTATTTTTGCATATTGTGAAATTAATTGAAATAACATTTATAATATTTTTTTCTTATATCATTATAGATTTTGACATTTTAAATGCATCACTCGTATATCTAATTTCGGACCATCATTAAAACACTAAAATAGTGTATTTGTAAAAGTTAAATTATATGTTAATATAATTTATTAATATATAATTTAACATATCATATCAATCGATACATATCACGAAAAATATAAAAAATCTTTTATCATTTGCGTGATATGTTTCAACCGTAACTAATATATTTACACAGTGGGAACAATATTAGAATTGTATTTGGATTTCTGGAACATATAATTTATTTATTTTTAAACCGTCAGAAGTCCATTCCATGAATGGAAATTCTTGTATTTACAGATTTGTTTTTTTCTAAATACAAGACAGGCTTTACAGTCACATTTACAAGACACATTTACAAGACACATATACTAGACCAGAATTACAAGACCACATTTATAAGAGTATTTAACTGGAATATTTTTGTAACAATATATTTACAAAACCACATATGCAACACGGCAAATACAAGGCTGCATTCACAAGATCCATTTACAAAACCACATTTACAGTACCTTATTTAAAACAGTATATTCACAACACTAAAACTAGGCATCATTTACAAGACAACATTCAGAATTTCCGTATCTTATGTAGATTTTGAACCTTGTAAAAACAAATTCTCATTAAATACGAATGGCTTGAGGCCTTTTTCGTAAATGTAAATTAGTAATACGATGAGATATGTGTGGCTGTAAAACTTTGTAAATACTCGCTACAGGAAACAATTTTTAATATGTAAATATTTTTTTTATTTCTAAGAAATTCTGCTCAGGGTGATATAGAAGTATTTCAGACGGCAATTTGCCAAATACTTCTAACGTGGAATTTGTTGTATATCTATGTAATTATTGTGCTATTGTTGTTGTTGTGCTATTGTTGTTGTTGTGTTACACTGGGAACTATTGAGTTACAGTGGGAACTATTGAGTTACAGTGGGAACTGTTGTGTTACAGTGGGAACTATTGAGTTACAGTGGGAACTGTTGTGTTACAGTTGGAACTGTTGTGTTACAGTGGGAACTGTTGTGTTACAGTGGGAACTGTTGTGTTACAGTTGGAACTGTTGTGTTACAGGGGGAACTGTTGTGTTACAGGGGGAACTGTTGTTACTGTGGAAATTTGCCGTGATAGAGGGAAGAGCGCCGTGTCTCGCGGTCCTGTGGGGAAACTGCCATATTTATGGAAAATATTATGTCACAGTGAGAATTAATCAGCCGCCGTAATTACCACGCCGGCGTTAAAATAATCTTTCTGCAGTATAAATTAACTCGTTATCGTGGGATTACCGCGGTATTTCAAGCGTAGGATGAACATATATTTAAACTTTATATATATATATATATATATATATATATATATATATATATATATATATATATATATATATATATATATATATATATATATATATATATATATGTGTGTGTGTGTGTGTGTGTGTGTGTGTGTGTGTGTGTGTGTGTGTGTGTGTGTGTGTGTGTGTGTGTGTGTGTGTGTGTGTGTGTGTGTGTGTGTGTGTGTGTGTGTGTGTGTGTGTGTGTGTGTGTGTGTGTGTGTGTGTGTGTGTGTGTGTGTATTGCTGAAACACTTAAGGCACATAAATTGGTTCTCCATTAATCAAACCACTGGCGCATAAACACAAGGGAATACATAATGTAGGTGTGGAAACCCTGAGTACGAACACATAACCAAGGTAATCAAACCGCAGGAATGTACGCACCCGTGAACACATAGCCCAGACCCACTCGAGCGAGCGCCCACTAGACGAGGTCAGTAGAGCAGACTCCACAAAGAATGCTGAAAGAGGTATTCGTGAAAGACGCCACACGTATCCTCCTTTCCTGGCTGTCACAGCTCTGTTGCCACTGGCGTCACGGACCTTGTGAATAACACTTTCCTGGTCATTAAAGTGTAATTACTCCAAATATAGCCGAGAGCCCTTCATTTAGCGAGTTAAGCACCAACGTTTGCGTGTCTGGGAAGGTCTGGGTTACGCAGAAACATTACAATGGCTAGTATGTAACTAGGGTGTGTGTGTGTGTGTTGTTGTGGTCCAGCTGGAGTCACAGGGTGTGATCTGCTGTGGTGTGTGTTATGTGGAGGGGTGAGGTGATGTGTGGCGAGGATTTGGATGTGGAAAAAGCAGGTGACTTAAAGTAACACGCAAATTCCGGTTCGTGTTAGCCACACACTTTAACTGTGTTCATTCTTCAACGTCGCTAAAATATCACCCTTGTCCCACTCACCACCCTGCCCAACGGTTGTACACTAATAAGCTAGTGTATATTAGTCAAAACTATAAGGTATTATTTTGTAGTGATTTATAATGTTTTTTTATATATATTTAGCATTAATTCAGTTTTGTTAGGATACTGGTAATCTACACATTGGCAATGTCAAAGTTTCCATAACAATGACGTTCTCACTTCTCCCTGTCCAGTCGTGCCTGACCCGTACGAGGAGGAGGTACACCTGCAGGAGGTGAAGAACGCCCGTCGTCGCAGTTTCCAGAAGTTGGTGAAGAAAGTCGTTCACACTCAGACCACCATCAGAACCGTCGATCACAGAGCTCACGCAAGTCTGTAGTGTTTCCAGTGATTCTCTCTGGTTCTGGCTCTGTCTCTGTTTCTGTCTGTCTCTGTCTCTGTCTCTGTCTTTGTCTTTCTCTCTGTCTCTCTGTCTCTGTCTCTCTCTCTCTCTCTCTCTCTCTCTCTCTCTCTCTCTCTCTCTCTCTCTCTCTCTCTCTCTCTCTCTCTCTCTCTCTCTCTCTCTCTCTCTCTCTCTCTCTCTCTCTCTCTCTCTCTCTCTCTCTCTCTCTCTCTCTCTCTCTCTCTCCTCTCTCTCTCTCTCTCTCTCTCTCTCTCTCTCTCTCTCTCTCTTTCTCTCTCTCTCTCTCTCTCTCTCTCTCTCTCTCTCTCTCTCTCTCTCTCTCTCTCTCTCTCTCTCTCTCGCTCTCTCTTAAAAAAAATTCCCTATAAAACAGATAATTTAACAAAAAATGGATTCTCTCTTATAAAAAATACAATATATTCTCATAAAATTATAAAAGTATTTAATCTTATTACGTTAATTAGTCTGCCTGTTGTACTTAAGGAATTTATTGTTAAGACCAAAAATGTACATTTCTTCATGTTGGAGTGTCTGTCAGGAACACGAACATTAGTCATAATCCCTTTCATATCTTCACTGTTTTTCTCTCTTGTATGTTAAGTCTATGTTGTGTTCCAGGTAGTATGCTACGCCCGTTCACATATGCTAGCTACTTTCACATATTATGACACTCTCACATACAACTATTTTAGCTACTTTCAGATAGTATGTCACATTCACCCATCCCTATATTTACTATTTTCAGATAGTATACCACCCTCATTGACACCTCTTTTAACTATTTTCAGATAGTATACCACCCTCATTGACACCTCTTTTAACTATTTTCAGATAGTATGCCACTCGCACCCAACTGTATTACCCACGTTTCAGTTGCCTGCACTTCCAATCTTGTTCGTATATCAGTATGCACTTAAGTGATCTCTCAACCCCCTCCATATTTCGTTGAATTTACTTGTAGTTTGAACTAGGAACAATTTTACTTGACAAGGAAGGATCGTGTCTAGAAAATTCAGCTGCACGTTTAAAATTGAATCATTAGCTCATGTAGTGAACTTTATATATTTTGTATCAAACAAAGTACGCAGAACAATAAACATTAATTTTGTGCACGCTATCATAGAGAATGAAGAACGTGAAAACTGTATAATCCCTCCATTCGTGCTGATTTTGTGTAATGTGTGTGTGTTTGTATTTGTGTGTGTGTGTATTTACTATTTGTATTTACAATTTGTGTCTGCAGAATCTAGATATTAGCTCTTGGCCCCCCGCCTTCCTAACCAATTTATTTTTCCTCTATTATATCTACTACATATTTCTCTCAAACACACATACACATGCACACACACACACACACACGCGCATCCCCAGGAAGCTGTCTAACTCTCAGGTACCTATTTACTGCAAGGTGAACAATGGCCTCAGGGTGAAAGAAACTCTGCCCATTTGCTTCCTCCTCGGCCGGGATTCGAACCGGGGCCCTTAAAACTACAACTCTCGAGCGATGTCCACTAAGCCGCGAGGCCCACAGGGATGGTGTGTGTGTGTGTGTGTGTGTGTGTGTGTGTGTGTGTGTGTGTGTGTGTGTGTGTGTGTACTCACCTAGTTGTACTCACCTAGTTGTGTTTGCGGGGGTTGAGCTCTGGCTCTTTGGTCCCGCCTCTCAACCGTCAATCAACAGGAAGGATTGTGTGTGTGTGTGTGTGTGTGTGTGTGTGTGTGGGTGGGTGGGTGACATGTAGGTCCCCCTGTTACAGAGGATAACTTAAGATGTTGAAGTCTTATTATTATTTACCGCCACGACTTCGTCACTTATTTGTAACCGGAAGACAGCTTACGAGCGCCTCCTCGCTGACTCTAATACTACGTGAGAAGTATAAGGTTTATTACCTCATTATAGCAAGTATACTTTCGTCTGGTACATTGTTTAGAACTAGAGTAAACTCTCAGTGTATACACACTGAGAAGCAAGTTTACACCTCTCGATGTATATATCTCTCAGGAATATCTGCAAGAATGTCAAGTTAATATTCTTAAATGCAGCCGTGTCAGTTGAAGGTATTCCAGGCAAGAGGGTCACTAAGCACGCAATAAACATATTTATGGCATAATATTTTCTGTCTTTTTTAACTTTGAGGGAAGGAGGGAAGGGAATGCACCTTCGTCCTTGCCCTTTTTTCTCTCTCTCTTGCCCTTTCTCCTATTTCTATGTATCTTTCTCTATACATTCTTTCTTTATCTCACTTTCTCTAATTTTTCTTCTGAAGCTTCTTTCTACTTCAATCCATTTTTCTTCTAGCTCCGATATCTATCCGTGTTTAAATTTTTCTTTTCCTATTGCTTGCCTCCCTTGTTCCTCTACTCTTCCATTTCTTCTTTCTGTCCTCCTCTATCTTCTTTTTAAATTCTTATTCTTTCTCCTCTAGCCATACATAGTCGCTGATATGTTTCCATTCTTCTTGTATAGTCCTTTCTCTCCCACGCCTGGTTCCTCCCTCTCCCTCTCCTCTTTCCTCATCCTTCCATCCTTCCAGTTCCGTTACTTCCTCTCTCTCTATCATGTTTCTTCTCCCCCTTCTCTTTTCTCTTCCCATCTACTTTCTATCCCACTTCTCCTAATTTACTTCCCAATTCCTCCTTTTCTTGCCACGAATAGTCCTCCCTCTTCCTTCTCCTCACTCTGCTGCATTATCTATACCTGATTTCCTATTCCTTTTCACCGGAAAAAAAAATCCATCCCACCAATCTTATCACACAGGGACACAAGGATCGTTTGGCTTCGGCCTAATTACCTAACGAGATCGTTCGTCTGCCTTATCATAGAGTATCATAACTAGGTAAATATGGGACCATTGTTGGTGATTGCAAGATTGCGTTTGCATTCCCCGACTTGAGTCAATATGGTTTGCAATTGCCTCAGTCGTGTAATATTTGTAAAGCAATAACAATTAAGGTATTAATTTTCATGGTTTTGTTTTCTTGTTTCTGTCGTGGTTACATTTTTTTAATATATTATGTTGGATGAATAGGATATTAACATTTAGTAGCTTTGACCTTCGTATGTATGGTATTAGATTATCTACTTCAACCCTCTCGCCACACAGCGAGATGCATACATTCATACACACCACCACATACAACTCCCACACATATACCCACATTCTCAAACACACACACACACACTGGGGCAAAGGAGTCTTCTGGCCGTTATGCATATCCTATTTGGACCCTACTCTTGAATACGTGACATGAAACATGAAATCCCTCACTTATAAAATCACAAGACAAAACTAGAACAGGTCCACAGGTATTCAACGAGGAAACACTGAGGGAGATAAACTTTACGACCAAGAGAGAGAGAGAGAGAGAGGAGAGGACACATGAAAACGACATACGAAATACCAAGATATGCTTACAAAGCAAACAAAGCGACATTATGCTCTATGACCTACCATATGTTACACTTCCTTCATCCATCCTAAATAACCATTCTTAACTCTGACCGGTCACATTCCTCCTCAATCCTAACGAATATCTTATCATATCTTCTGTTCAACCCTTCCACATCTAACCTTACTGCCCCATATATAGCAATGCTTCGCTTTTCTCTACCCCAGCATGTAATGACCTGACTCTGGTATCCCGCAGAACATGTGCTGTACCCCAGTCGGTGCAGGGTGACCATTACGAAGGTTCCAGTGGTTGGCGGAGACCCAATCACTCCGGATACAGCAATTGTGAGTGTTTCTGCTCGTTTTCCAGCGGCTGCGCCTGCTTCTGTTTTTTTTCTTAATCGCTCTTTGCATTTTTTTTACTGCTCCTCATATTCCTAAAACTTATATGCTAGTTGTCGGTGTTGTGTTATTCGTTACAACACTGGACTGCTTCTGATCATACTCCGGTTGATGCTGGTTTTCCTGCCGTGGTTCATGGTGTTGATTTTGTAAATACTATTACTGCTTGTATCTTGTGTCTCTGTGTTACGTAAATATGGAATGCTTATGTAAATTCGATTGTTCTGTTCTATAATATAAGTTGACATTTTTATTCAGTAAATGAAAGGCTCTACTCATAATATATCCTGTAATATGAGGATATTCCTGTACTTAGAGAGATCATACATTTTGTTATGTAGCGGAAGCAATTCCCTTGTACTTCATATGGTGTTCTTGTAGTTTTTTACGACGTGCGGGGTCCCATAGGGAAGCCTTTGTACTAAATTAGGACGTTAGGAACACGTAAGATAAGCTGTTTACCTAGCGTAAGGCAGGTGGACCTTGTGAGGATGGTTTTGTACTGTCTTAGAACGCGGTGAACACGTACAAACGCTCTTGTATTAGCTTTAGGACGTGTGGAACTAGTGTAGAAGCTCGTGTACTAGTTTAAAACATCTGTAACCAATAGGAACAAGCGTGCACTTGTTTAGGACGTGTGGAAGCCGTAGGTAAGGTCGTCACATAGATCCTCCCCTACAGGAACTCCGTGAACGGGTCTTCGGGGCGGCGGACTTGCTAACTTTCTCGCTAAATGAGTGGCTGGGTCAGTCCTTCTGCTTCCACGACGCTGGGACGGCTCTAGCCTACGGCCTCAAGGCTCCTAAGTCCAGCACCAAGGGCCTTGTCATGTGCGTCCAGGCTTACGTTCTCAAACACCTTCTCTTCAACTCTCACAAACCAGGCGCGGTCGGGGACGTCATCAGGTGAGTCTTTCTCTTTTTCTGATTTCAAATCCCTATAAATAAGACATCGGGGTATTTGAAAGCAGAAATTTGAGGATAATCATAATGTTTAAGCCTGTGAGATGGGCCAGAGGGATGGGAGCAAGTCAGATTTATTGTTTAAAAAACAAAAGGAAATCCTACAGTTGAGTTTGGCTGCCTGGTCGTTGTGACAGACACTGTAGTGTAAAGAATGGTGTTCTTCAGATGTAAGTCTCCTCCAGGTCAGAGTTAGTGGAAACACTCGTAATGTTACAGATCTTTTTTGATATGTTGCGTTAAGGCAATAACTTGTCCTGCAGATTGTGCAGTGTACATCTATACTTCACAATGCTTATCTTTGTACCTATTTATAATATATATATATATATATATATATATATATATATATATATATATATATATATATATATATATATATATATATATATATATATTTGTATTTGGTTCGTTGCATGTTTTACTGTCGTTGTACAGCTCATGAAGTCAAGGGAAAACTTTCCCTTTGTGCAACGTAATTTTTTTTTATCTTTCCATCTTAATGTGTACATATATTTTGGTATTGGTTTTTTATATTTTGAGCAATATTTATTTTGTTTGATTTGTAGGTGAAGATATGGTAGTAGAGGTATCTAATGAGTGATTGGGATCATTTCCATTTATTCAAATATCAGATATATTTTAATTATAAGGTAAAAGACCCTGAACCCCAGTAATTTTCGTTTATTGCAGCAAAATTCTTCTGTATATGAGAGGCAAATGTGTTAATATCTTGAAAATACCTTTGCTGCATGAAATGCTCAGCGAGAGACAAGATTTTAATCAATTTCCTCTTCAGGTGTAGCAGGCCAGGTGTAGCAGATTAACTCCAGGTATAACACACACACACATGACACGACTTACAAAAAGTCAGGAGTAGCACACTTAATCCAGACTTAATAAACAATTCAATCGAAACCCATCCAAGCTAGCATACCTCTCACACATGATAGGCAAAGCATTTACAATCCTGGGATAACACACACACACACATAAGGCTTGACACAATCACGGCAGGAATAACACGCTCAAATCAGGTATGATCAACACAAACCAGACGTAACATATATGAATGCCAGACATACCACACACACTCCAGGAAAAAAATATATACAATCCTGGTATAACACACATAAGTCAGACAAAAAACACAGTTAACAGTAAAATATTACACATAACTGGTTACTAATTGAGACAAAGAAACTCGATCATGAGCTGAAGCAAATAAATAAAATTCACGACACTATTAACACACAAACTTTCGATAAATAAGGACCTTATATACGAAACCGGATATATTAGCCACATAGATTCCATATAATGCCAAACATAAAACACTGAGGCCTTCTCCTACACAGGCTCCTGCGGACGACCAAGAAGGCGCAGGTGGACGCCCTGGTTGGGGCCCTGAGCGACATCCTGTGGAAGGCCGGAGAGAGGAAGCACGCCGTCCTCTGTCTGACCCGGGATGAAGTGCACGTCAGTGACGACCCGTGCTATATGGAGGATGGTTGCACTGAGAAGGTGCGGCACGAACTCCGCCGCTTTCACGCAATTTGGTCCTAGTCTCTTTCTAGCCTTGACTCACTGTAATCCTGCCCTCTTTCTCACTTTGACTCATTGTAGTCCTGTCCTCTTTCTCACCTTCACACACTCTAGTCCTAGCTAATTTCCTACAATGACACATTGTATTTGTTGCCCCTCCAGACATTTGTAATAATCATGGGGAATTTTACACATTTAAGAATAATATGCAACCATTTCGCTTCATGCAGCTCACGCCTAGTGAGACCCTTAACATTGCCTAGTGAGATTCTTTACATTTAGATCACTATCTAATAAGATCGTTAGCATACAGATCCTTGCCTATTGAGATCCTTAACATGTTTTGGGGTTCTATACAACTCTGACTTTCATAACAGTCATACAGAGCAAGCCTTTATCAATTAAAAAAAAATTCAGTTTGGATTATAGTTTCTGAAATTTGTCAACCTAATGTTCCAGATCGTCATCTTCAACTATGGAAAATATGAAGAACTGAAGTTTAACATCAGGAAATATCTCTATGAGGTAAGACTGGATTTAAATCCCTAAAGTTCATATACATACACAGATTTTACATATACAAATAAATATTACTCTCCCTCAAAAATGTCTTTGAGCATTTTAGAGTGAGAGAAAAAATGACGGAAGAAATAGTGATTAAATGTTGTAGTTGAGACATTAGAGAGACGCAACCACAGCAAAAGTGGACTGTGGCTAACTTGACTTCTCACTTCACAGATGGTGAATGAGGATGGCAATGGAATACTTCTCTTCCTCTACAGCCTCGTCCTCTCCCGCACCTTCCACAGGTAAGGCCTAAATTCTCTTCATTCTTCTGCACTTTTCTCAGATAAAGCTTAAATTCTCCTTTTTCTGCAACTTCCTCGAGTAAAGCCTCGAAACGCCTTCAGAACCTGCCTAAGATAAGACCTCACTCCTCCTGCAGCTCTCACAGATAAGGCGCCAATCGTCTTCCCACCTCCTGTACCTCCCACAGGTATGGCTCAGCTATTATTTTCCTCATAGAAGATGTCATCTTTTTTGTTTTTTGCACTTCTCTCCGTCTTCGGTGAGTCCTCACTGAGGAGGAATATTCGGTTATGTGCTGACAGATATGTCTACTTCACCAACAAGTGTACAGGAGGTTCTACATCAAGCCTCTGATAAATAACAGGAAAGGTTAAAAGAGGTATGTAGCTAGATTTTATATTTTGGTCGAAAATTATTTCTGAGATTTTGATTGTGTTTATCTAGCCGAAAGGCGTTTATCAAGTGGATCTTGATAGGCAAAATCCTTGCTTAAAATTCACATCAGTGACACTTATAATGTTGCCAAGCACTTATTATAAATTAAAACATAAATTCTGAATAACTGACGTCAGTTTATAATTGTCCTAATTACAGAGTCCTAATTGGTATTAAATTCTTCTTGTTTGTGCTATGATCAGCGTGAGTCTTATTCCCTTACAATTAAGCTACTAAAGTCCAAGTGGGTGACCTGAACTGGCAAGCCAGCCAAGGTTCTCTATAAGGACAAGGAGAGTGACCTGACCTTGACCCTACAGACTTAGCGAGGACAGATGTGGGGAAGACCAGAGCCTCATTCTGGGGAACGGAATGATCCAGCCATGTCTGGCCACCTTAGTCATCACGGGACGTGCTACGCTCTATCTCCATAACGGCATCATTTACGAGGGCACGGAAGAGACTATGGTAAGTGTCAGCTGCATCATAACGGTTACTACATCGTTATAATACAACCAGAAAGATCTTAAACTCTCAAGAAGTCTGTTATATCTTTGAAAAGAGAAGCAATGGAGGTGTTGTATTCGAATCGGAAATTCTGAAACTTTTTAAATTGTAGCAAAATTTGTGTTATTATCCAGGCTAAGCCCAAGACAGGAATTCTTATCCGAGCCGAAATCGGACTGCTGGTGTGGAGACGACCGGAGGGAAACAGCCAGGAAGTTGTGGGGTCACGCCTCAAGACCCCTTCCTTCCCAATATGGGTCACCCGTTGTAACGATTCCTATGGCATCCTCTTCTACACTAGCAGGGACCTCCTTAGGGACTACCACGCCGAGAACAGGTGAGAGAGCTTGTCATGTCTGACCAACTGTGTAAAACAATCGTTATAAAACATCTGAAATAATTCCGTGTTTGTTTACGTATGAGACAGATCTATTTGGTCTACGTCAATAGCAGGATATATGTTGTATTTATATGCACAAAATCATGTGTTTTACCATACATAACCACATTAAAAACACTTGTAATAAATGTATGATGAAACGTAGAAAAACAAATCTTGGAAACTAAGTGTACTATATACGCCAATAAGTACTCTGATTTATACTCTAATAAATTCAATATGGGATTCAGTATACTTTGTGAATTACAAACAACAATTACGGAGATTGAAGTCAAATATATATATGTATATACTTGAAGGAAAAGATGTAAGGTTAGCAATCCTTCCCCTTCACTGCTCGACAGATTCGACCTCTACTACTACTCCAGCAGTACCAGTCAGATAGCGGCGACCATCCTCTCTATCGACACGCGAGTTCGACCACGCAGGGACGACCAACAGATTCCTCCCCTTGAAAATCTTATCCATACTAAGTAGGTGCCTTCAGTTCACAGTGGTAAAAAAGAGATTTGTTAATCCTTTTCGCCATACAAAACGGAAGGGTCCTTCATAATCCTCTTCCATATCAAGCAAATAATTGTTTTTCGATCTTGTCAAAAAAAGGTAATATTTTTTTGGTATTGTTTTGGTAATCTGTATTTGATTTCATCTAAGTCAATTATATACATCAGTTTGTATACAATTGGTTTAGGTGAATTTTTGTTATTTAAAACCCATTTACGGTAGCCAAAAAGATTATTAATGCTAATTAATGGGTTCAGGATCTTTGTTTTAAAAGACTGTGTTATAAATATATATATATATATATATATATATATATATATATATATATATATATATATATATATATATATATATATATATATATATATATATATATATATATATATATATATATATATATATATATATATATATATATATATATATATATATTTTTTATCTAACAGGTGGCAGGATGCAGATGTCAGTTGGAACGGGACTACGCCTTACGTTTAGAAACCATTCCCTTACAAAGTTGACATCAGCAGTTTGGGACCGCACCTAGCTTCCACTCTTGACCTACACTACATGCAATCTACGTTTACTTCTGGCTTGGGTCTGCCACACGGTCGCTTTCTACGACTCCTGTCGCATCTACGCTACCACGCCTTCGAACTGCCTTAACTGCCGTGTCACACCTGCAATTTCGTTCGCGTTGTTGCTGCGTTATCTCCGTTCTCGTCTCCAGCAGTTCAGCATCTAAGATCAAACAGCTAAGACCAAGCAGCTAAGACCAAGCAGCTAAGAACAAACAGCTAAGAACAAGCAGCTAAGAACAAGCAGCTAAGAACAAGCAGCTAAGAACAAGCAGCTAAGAACAAGCAGCTAAGATCATACTGCTCATCTGCTCCGGAACTTCTAGTGATTTTTATCTACTCTTCTGCATTGCAAGTTATTCTTATGTTGGCGAATTTCTGCGCTGTTCTCGTTTGCTCTCCCGACTCTATCACGGCTTCAGTCTCTACAGCACCATTAGCGAGCTCTACGTTGCTCTGTAACACATTTCGAGTGTTTAGTAACATGCTCTATCTTGCATCATACCTCTTGCCTTGCATCATGCCTCTGCAGTGCCTTGTATCATGCTCAACCGTGCGGTGTGAGATGAAACAATATTCAAAAACCCTTCGAGTACCGAGAAGAAACATGCAAATCGCTTCCATAAAAGTTAAAAGTTTCATATGATAATGATGGTAAGACTTTTATATACAACCATGAAACAAAAATGGTGCCCCTCTGGTGTTGATATTCTTAATACTCTTGGGACGTGACCTGAACGTTTGTCTCCCGTTTTAGTAAAATAAAGTGGTAAGTCATTTTCAATTATGTGTGAAAATCTAGGGGAAACGCCTTTTTTAGAGGGGTGGAAATCGCATAACTTTCTCATACGATAAAATGTTACGTTCTCATTGCAAATAACGAAACAATAGCTGGAGATATAGTTAGGATATCGTTAAGGAACAGGCTACAAGTCGCTCGTGTCTCATGCTAATTGCTGTAATTATGTAACTACACATGACAAGGGATGATCAAGATAATTATAAGTTCGGCAACTTGTCATGATCAGTAACATGCTCTGGGCGCTGTGCATGTTCCTACCATGCACATACTCAGGTCACCCATCCGGTTCAAGTGCCCTAACACAGTACAGTGTTTTTCCTGAGCAGAGTTGGCACGCCTGTATGACCAGGGTTGGCACGCTTGTATTAGCAAGGTTGGCACGCCTGTATGAGCAGGATGGCACGCCTGTACTTATAACGATGCAAACGCAGTTATAAAAATATGACAGATAGCTCACTGGGTTCCAAGATTTAATAGATTATCAAATCTAATACACACGTTTAACAACGCACAGAAATTATTAGAAAAATGCGCCATTAACATTGCTAACTAGTTGCCTTAGAGGAGTAAGTTGGCGTAAATGTCGAAACTATTTAAATATGCATTGGGCTGTGATAGTATTTCTTTAGTCTGAGCACACAAGTCCTACTTTAGGTCGTGTAACACGTATCTTGAGATCAGTATGACACAAACTCATGTTGGAAATAGAGTTCATTCAGAAAATCTAAAATATTTATCCTGTCATCCAGCCCGTCCACATAAACAATGGTAAAATGATTGTTATTCCAGCCACTTATCCTTCTGTTTATGAACGAAAACACTTTACACAAGTCTCACAACAGATGAGGTTCGATCATTTAACGAGCGATGTCGTTTGTTTGAATTCCACCTCTAAATCTTTCACCCCTATAGTACAAATTCAAACAATTGCCAACAAAACAACCACCTAACCTAATAATACTTAAAGTTTTAATATGTATTAATATTAATTTATATTTCAGGAAACAAATGTGAATACATATTACGTTTAAGTTGATGAGTGCGTGTTTGGGGTCGACCGCCCCCTGGAAGAGCTCGAGGACAGGTCTGACAGAACATAGTACGAGGAAGGGCTGGTTGTGAGTCGTGTGCAATCTGTTTTTCATCCATAAACATGGGAATTTTGCGGCTAGATTAACAAGCATTTGCTTCTAGTTTTGATGACGCTGTAAAAATATCGCCCAGTAATACCAGGGGTCCCAGCCTGAATTTGTGTGCTTGAGGGGACTCTGTAAATAGTCAATACATTCCTGGATATCAGGATAGAATCCGCATATTTCCTGGTTATCAGGGTAGAGTCTGCGTAGTTACTAGGTATCCGGATCGAGGTCACATAATTCTTGGGTATCAGGGACGAATCCACGGGGTTCTTGGGTGTCTGGGTTGAGTCCACATAATTTTTGTTTATCAGGATCGAATCCACGCAAATTCCTAGGTATCAGAGTCGAGTCCGTGAAATTCCTGGGTATCCGGATAGAGTTCACCTTAACTCTAGATAGGAGTAAAATTTTGCGTAGCTTGGCTACTAAAGCAGAGCTTTTGCAGTCTTATCAGTACTAATACATTTAGTACTCAGCAAGACTGTTTGCTACTCTCAGGGTAGAACTTAAGGAGGGTTTCTCTCGCAGTAAATGTTTGTATAGCGTAGCTCTTAGTGTAGATCTCTATTTTGCCAGTACAGATACAAAGCTTTCTAGTTTTCAGACATACGAATGGATAGTTTTCCAGAAATAATAAAAAGTTATATAAAATGAAGTCTACTGCAGTCACAGTGATCGTTATTCTGATCGCTTCTGATCGTTATTAATCACATGATGAAATCCCTCTGCATCTATCATTTTAGCTGCTAGCTTGATAAGAGCATTAAGGATAATAATGCAATATTTAGACTCACAAGATATGTAAGCAGCTCAATATTAAAGGCTCACTTAGTGTTAGACAAAAGAGAAGAAAGGATGGCTTATATGATTAAAGAAAGAAAAAGGAAGATCATTCCACATGAGTCAAGTTCGAAAATAGATGGTTAGCTCAGATAAGTCAAAGAGCAAATGGATGGTTAGAATACATGAGTCTAGAAAGGAAGAGAAAGGTTATATGAATAAAATTTAACTCAAAATATGAAAACTCCACAATTATTTTTTATAATTAATATTATTTCTGCTTAATTAAGTTACTGAGTATATTATCTGGCGTACAATATTATGTAATATTTATGCTTTATAATGAGTCCTATTGATATTCTGCAACTTATTTTACTACTTTTGTGTTTGTATAAGTTTATTGAATTACTTTGTTTGTAATTGTAATTTTGAATTAGTATTTGCTGTCTTTGTTAAATATTAGTCAAATCCTATTTTGTGAAATTAAGTGAAATATGGTAAGTGTTCGAGTTCGTTCTTTTATGTGTAAACAGTGTCATTATGTTATATCTTATGTTGTTGTATTCGACCCTATTGGGTATCAGTTTCGTGGTTCCTGTATTTTAGATCTGATGATGAACACGACGATGTATTCGAGACGTTATGGGAAATATTGAGGGAGTATTTCAGTTAGAGGCTCTTTTGCTTTTCTCGACGGCCTCGGGAACCAAATTGCTCTACAGGTTTTTTTCACTAAGTTTACTTGCTTGTTGGTTAGTAACCACTTGTGTGCCCTTAATGACAGTTCAGAGAGTGATGGGTCTAGACAGAGGACATGCTTTTGTGTATAGTATTGATAGTAATATGAAAATTCATATGAAGGAAAGCTTAAACTGAACATTTATGTTTATATCAGCACTGATAAGGGACATGACTTATTTAAAATATCTCCTGATATATATTGCAATTGTGAGGTGTGGTAAATTAAGAGAACATGTTCAAATAAACAAGTAATGGGGGACACATAATGGGAATGATAAAGATATGAAATGGAGGATGGATTTAATAACATGCAATGGGGGTTAGCCAGTTATTACTACAAGGCGAGATTGATGGTTGACTTGCTCTTCCTGATCATAGTCAGAACTGGAAGGACCATAAATAATTTGTTTAAAATTTCCCACAGACTCCAAATTTTCTCGCTGACTCAAACTTTATCATTAAAATTTTAAATTAATGCTGAAATTTCATACATTGACCTGCCATTTTGGTTTAAATATCATGCATTGAAAAACAAATCACTGCCTTCCTCCTTATTGTATTGTATAAGAGAGAGTAATAAGAAACATTCTTCAGGAACATACAGAGATATGGCAGACCAACGCAAGGGATATATATTATATTATGTGATATGCTTAATATTGTGTGGTATATCTGGTACCATAGTGCACATTTATATGTACTCAGAGCTGGTATTAATTTCTCCCATGTTGTCAGCCAGTGGAGTTATTATTTTAAATATTGAGAGGTGGAGTTATGAACGAAATGTGTATCACATTTAGAGATAGTATATATTTTTAGACAGTGTAAAACATGTTGAATAAAAGCAGCAAATCAGGAATTCAATTTTTTACCCAATAATAAAGGGATAGAATCCTGCAAGGATTGCGTTTTCTGGGCAAGACTTCGGATTCTTGGGAGCAGATTGGGATCGTAAGACAACATTTGGTTTTGGGAAGGACCATAGGATTCATCCTTACGGAATAACACAGTTTATCGCAATTTTTTTGGCCTGAAGGAGACGCTTTGGCAGCCACAAGCGACTGTCCTCCTGGCAGTCAGATGGTTCGTTTATCCTACCAGGGAAGACTTTTTCAATTTTCATTGATTTGGAATTATCTGGAGAACCATTGGCAATTGCTGAATAGCACGTGAGAGTAGATCGCTATTATACACTTCCATCGGATATGAACATGGGAGATATTCTCAAGTATTGAAAAACACCGTAAAATAATAATAGTGCCCTGGTATTAAACATGTAAAATTTTAAAAATAATTAATAATACACACAGAAATGACAATTGCGAGATATATCAAATGACTAAATCCACAAGGACCGTGATGTGGGTTCGAACCTACGCACAGGATGTCCCCAGTTGCGCCTTAGTCAACTGTACCACGACATGGTGAAAACAAATTGTATGAAACCCCGATTGTGCTTCTGAGAAGCTTCAGGATCCTCTTGAGAGCAGTAGCACTCCAGGTGGCAATTCTTTTCACCATGTCGTGATACATTTGACTAAGACGCATCTGGGAACATCCCGTGCGTAGATTCGAACCCTCATAGGGGATTGGCGGTCGGGGATTGAACGCCGACCTGCATGAAGCGAGGCCATCGCTCTACCGTCCAGCCCAAGTGGTTGGACTAGATAAAGAGGGAACACAACTTATTACTGATCAGTATTCTTCACCTTGTTTTGATCTCATTGTTTGTGTCGTGCTTTAGAGTTCCAGACATATGGAGTCCACAGCTTCGAGCGAAAGACACAATGAATAAGGAGCCTTTACAATTCTTAGTCATGGTCCAAGTCTATATTTGGTCAAGGAGAAGATCCAGTAATGTCTGATCGACAAAGTTATTTGCATTAATCTTCAATCAAATTCCAACATTTCTATAAAAAATCATCACAAATGTTGTTGATTCTCAAGTAAGCTAAATGGATAGGAAAATATCTAGCATGTTTTACATAATTTATACAGGCGTTATCCATTATCATCACACACGTATATATTTATGTATATGTGCAAGGTGTATGCACACATATACATTCACACACATATTGACTTATGAATGTAGGAAAAATTCTCCTCATTTTTACATGATTACAAATAATCTATGGAGATATGGATAACTTTGCATAGTGAAGGAGGATGGCCTCATTTGCAAGGTGGAGGACTACCTCTATGTTGTTTTGGACGGGAATCCTGAGTTCAACAAGGGAAAGAATTTTTTCCTTCTATAGACTGTTGAAAAACATCCTAATTTATTTCTTCTTCTTTCTACACAAATAATTAATATGGACAGAAGTAACTTCTAATTATTAGAATCAGAATTTAATGAACACAATTTACAGAATTATGAGTAATGACAGGTAATGATATTTTAAATATTGGTATAAATAAGGGTTGTAATGAAATGCAAATCCAAGAATTTGTTATTTGTTCCCCAATTAGGCGTTGTAACAAACGGTAGTTTGGTTTCTCTTATCAAAACCTGACTAAGTCTCGCCACTTGCAAAAACGATTTAGATAACATTTAAGTCTCTTTATGCCAGAATTAATTCATACTGACCGCGCCATACATCAATAATACGCGTCAAATTCTTTAAAACAGATCAAACCTAATTTATCAACGTTAGACCTGGTGAAGTAATCTCCATCAATTCAGCCTTCAGAACTATCTTACAGCCTACACACAAACACACACACACCCACACACACACACACACACACACACACACACACACACACACACACACACACACACACACACACACACACACACACACACACACACACACACACACACACACACACACACACACACACACACACACATGGGTTGAAGGGACAGCGCTCTGGGGTCGTAGTCCTAAAGGCCGGGGTTCGATCCCCAGCAGAGGCAGAAACAAATGGGCAGATTTTCTTTCACCCCTAATGCACCTGTTCACCTAGCAGTAAATAGGTACCTGAGAGTTAGACAGCTACTACGAGCTGCTTCCTGACGATATGTGTGTGCAAGATAAATATATGTAGTAGACATAATAGAGGGAAAATTAAATAGGTTAGAAAGGCGCGATTCAAGATCTAATAGCTCGATTCCGCTGATACAAATAGTAAATACAAATAGTAATTACACACCCACAGAAAGCAGCACCTCATAGCCTTCAGATAAGTCACAATCACTCGACACAGTATTCCTCATCTTTCACAGTACATACCAGTACATACAGTACACCACGTTCCGTATACAGTTTACACCACTGCGTTATACCGTGGTACTGCAGGATACTTTACAACCGTGCCCACCTAGTCCTGCTACTTATTTACACGTAACTTCGTTTGAATATTAGTCTATCTATTTCCCTATGGTACTAAGTGACTTGGTAATACAGGAGCCTCGGCTCTGTCAATTTCCGTAATTGAAAGGTTTATTAATATGCCTATGGCCTCGCAAAGTTAATCCACTAATTATCTGTGTGATTGGCTGAGCCTCGTGCTTCTTCACCTTCTAGCGCTGTATCTACAATAGTTATAATCAAGCTGGCGATGTTTGCTTACTGCTGTATTACCTTCAACATCAGGTAATTCACGTCGTCAAGTTATCTTCAGTTGCAGATAATCCCCAATGTCAAGTTATCTTCAGTTTCAGATAATCTCCAATGTCAAGTTGTCTTGAACATCAGTTAATTCACAATGTAAACTTTAAATTTCGATGAACCTTAATTCCTTTCCACTGACAAGCGATAATGGGAAAGGAAGTACAGACAACCACGTGTTTGTCAGACCAACAGAGCATCCGTCAGAAGACTTCAAACTGTGTGTTTGTAATAACAAAGCATCTGCCACACTTTAAACAGTGTGTTTGTCATGGCAGAGCATCCGTCAGAAGACTTCAAACTGTGTGTTTGTAATAACAGATCATCCGTCACACTTTAAACTGTGTGTTTGTCATAACAGAGCATCCGTCAGCAGACTTCAAACATGTTTGTCAAAGAAACGATAACATCCGCCATCAGACTATTAACAAACACTTGATATAGGACGTATAAGTTGAAGAAATGCTTATGAATTAATAAAATAGCAAGCACTGATGATCTTTCATGTGTCTAATATTACCAATGGAAGCTGAGCATGCCAACTAGAACTAAATAAGAGGTTATTCTTAGAAGTGTTTTATAAACCAAAGAAGTCAAATTCAAAAAGTAGATTAAGGAATAGATTCAGAATGGTAATTTATTGAATTAATAATAATTTAGTAATTGACAGTTGCAGTAAATATAATGCATTTATATCTTCTGCATGGAAAATTAAACGCTAAAATAAAATTTGTGAATAATTACAACGTTCTATGATGAAAAACTCTGTTTTATATCATGGTGGTAATGCCTTACAAGTGTATATGTAGTTTAAATTAATGGAACTTATATAATAGTGTATTTTCTCAATATAACAAGTTCTGAATGCATTTCAAGTATAGTTTACAGTGAAAAAAAAGCTTGAGACATTCTGTATAACAATATAAGCCATCAAATTATATTGTACGAAGTTTGATTAGATAAATGAAATGGTGCTTGTAAACTCAAAGGTTAAAATTACAACTATCATGATAATTTCTGAGCGAAATATGGGCAATGAATTTGTTACTGAAAGTTGTAGACAAAGCATCGTTGCTTGTGAGTAAATTGTAGTTACACAACAGTATTTTCCTTTTCAGTAACACATGATCAAGCCTGGTCAGTGACTGTTGATGCACTTCTCAGTTCTTGCAATGCACTTCAGATATTGAAAATGTTCCCATATAATGCTACTATAATTCATTATCGCCTATATGTACTCAATCCATCTTCTTGAAATGACAGTACTTTTAACTATTTGATCCAAAGTACCAATAACTCGTGATGGACCACAAGTAATCTGATCTTTCAACTATTAACTTTATAGTCTAGGAAAAATAAAGCTAATGTATATATATATATATATATATATATATATATATATACAGAGAGAGAGAGAGAGAGAGAGAGAGAGAGAGAGAGAGAGAGAGAGAGAGAGAGAGAGAGAGAGAGAGAGAGAGAGAGAGAGAGAGAGAGAGAGAGAGAGTTATCCCCCCCCCTCCTCCAAATAGTTACTATAAGTACTTTCATTGTAAGACGATGGGCTGATTTATTACAATGAAAGATGCAGCGATACAAAACAAATAAAAAGAAACCGATGATATATATCTTCAGCATTTACAGTAGATACAAGAGATGCAGCAATACGGTAATATATCTACAGCGAATACAGTAGATACAAGCGTTGCATAGATACCCATACAATAGAAACGACTATTGCAGCATATACAGTGATATATCTGCAGCATATACAGTGATATATCTGCAACATATACAGTGCTATATCTGCAGCTTATACAGTAGAAGCAACCATTGCAAAATATAAAATCAAACTTGAATTCATTCTGACCGAAACTGCCTGGAACATAATTTTAATTTACTTTGTAAGCGAAAACTAGATAAGGACGTCCAAATTGCTTTAAAAAAACATTTCGATTACTCTGTTCAATAATATCTTCAACTCAGCATTTTAAATCTTCTGTCCAATACTAGTGGAGGTAAATTAAGAATGTAAAATAACTTCTGCGTCGTTAGAGGCAAAAAGGGTAATCATTGATGAATTTAAAGAGCAGAGAATATGGAATCTAATTTGAATTCTCTTGTATAACTTTCCCCCACATATATTGATTGTTAATTACAATACATTAATAAAGAGCATCAAAGCTATGCACTGCCAGGCTGAACAAATGAAATTTTAGATATGAATTAATAAAGGGCGTAGTACGTCCCGTGGTATATATGAAGGAGCATTCATTAACGTGATAAATTAATACCAAGCACTGTGTAACTTAACTAATATGTGTAAACCAGTTCAAGCTTGCTAAGTAATTCCACTTTGTAGTCGTTCTTCTGGATATGTTCACAGGCGAGCTGATTTATTTCCCTCCAAGAAAACATAACTATTTTTCTTTTCATTCTTATGAAAACTTCAGAACCTGATTTTCCCGTTCAATTTCTATCAGAGTAAAGCGACAATGTTGTATTCTAAGATTTTTATTATTCATATTTTCTGTACATAGTACATTGACATGAATATACAACGTTCATTCACTTTCACTTAACCTCTTTACACAAATTTTCCTACTTGCGTTATGGATGACTAGTTAATACAGGTTTTCCTTGCAAATACAGATTTTTGGCCTAAGGTTAGGTAATGTAATTAATTACGAGAAGAAAGCGCTTCTTATGACTACCCGGCATTTGGAAGGCATATGGGGACACACTAAGAGCTGAGCTGGTAAACGTAAGGACGGAGTAGAAGATCAGTGCCCAACCACTTCGACTGTCGAGGATCGAGGTCTAACCCTGCAAAAAATCGAGGCCGTTGCTGAACCGATCAGACGACAGGGAAAGCCGAAGTTCGGTCGATCATGTTTTCTGTAGCTACTTATACTGAACTGTCTAATGTACATTTTCTTCAACAGTGAGAGAAATATGTAAAACAGGGAAACTGTGTAAGAATAGAAGCCAGCAGCAGAAGCAGTGGCTGTCGGAGGGAATAAACAATATTAGCATAAACACACATGGGACAAGTATAGAGGCCTCTAGGACAAATAAAGAGCAACAGGAAAGCTAACGGTAAGCGAGAAAGACACGCAGCTGTGGGAAGAGTAGACATAACAGAGGATTCGGGAGATGTCTAATGCGGAAGAGAGATGAAATAAGATAACATGTCCCAACGCAAGAAGTAAGGCCACATTGGGCTCCTACAGGAGTCTCGGTTCCAAGCATAGAGCGCTACAAAGGCTCATGCTGAGGAGATTTCGGTTCTAAGCGTAGGGCGCGACCAGGCTTGCTGCTGAGGTCTCGGTTCTAAGCGAAGGACGCGACCAGGCCTGCTGCTGGGGTCTCGGTTCTAAGCGTAGGACGCGACCAGGCCTGCTGCTGGGGTCTCGGTTCTAAGCGTAGGCCGCGACCAGGCCTGCTGCTGGGCTCTCGGTTCTAAACGAAGGGCGCGACCAGGACTCCTTTTGGGGTCTCTACTCTACACGTAGGGCGCCGATCCGTTCCAATTAACTTCTGCTCCTTGCCACCTGAAAGACAATAGTCATTTAATATGATTCAACCGGTGGTAATTTGGTCTTGGCAAGTGCAACGGTTGACATGTTTAGCTTGCGTGTCTGTGAATGTGATACTCCACAATTATTAATCTATTCCCACCTGTTCTTTTAGTTAATTGGGCAATGATGAACGAAAGAACATAAGTAGGTTGATGAAATTTTTTAAAAATATCCGATAATTAACAATCTTGTCTTCATATTTCTTTCTTTTCACAGTCATTCAAAAAATCAAAACATTTAATTCTCATTATTCCGTAGTTATTCATTAATAACACGGGTTTGTTTACTTATTTGAGTATATTTATGAATAATATATATGCACAAAAATTTGAATGCATTAATTTAGTATGCCTAACAAATGTATAACCCGATCAGGAGCCCTGATCCTATTATAAAATATGTGCATATATTCTAACACGTTCAGGAATTACTGCAGAAATTTGTTAAGTTAGTGGAAGTAGCAGGAGAAGTAGGAGTGAGTTGTGTCCCTGGCATAGAGCACAGACCTGACAGCCCACACTGAAGTAGAGGGACTATCCCAGGACTATTGGACTATCCCAATAGTCCTGGGGTAGAGGGTTATGGGGCTACTGCTAGATAATATATAATATAGAAGTACTAACATGCTTTACTTAGTACTTTGATGGAACCATTATCAAACGTATGAATATTATAGTCGAATAGATGATTTGAGGAAGGAATGGTAGGTACAGAAGCAGTGGTACCTACTTAGTGTGAATGGTACGTACAGAGGCAGTGGTACCTACTTGGTGTGAATGGTAGGTACAGAGACAGTGGTACCTACTTGGTGTGAATGGTAGGTACAGAAGTAGTGGTACCTACTTGGTGAGAATGGTAGGTACAGAAGTAGTGGTACCTACTTGGCGAGAATGGTAGGTACAGAAGCAGTGGTACCTACTTAGTGTGAATGGTAGGTACAGAGACAGTGGTACCTACTTGGTGAGAATGGTAGGTACAGAAGCAGTGGTACCTACTTGGTATGAATGAGGTTCTCCAGGGGCGGTGAGTGGAACTCGTCTCTGTTGGTGTGGTTACGCGTGTCGATGGTTATTATGGTAACTGTCGTCTGGTTGGCGTTAGAGGAGTAGTAATGGAGGTCGAACCTGAGGAAGAGGAGAGGGGAGTTAACTGTGGTTATGTGAGCCTTCCACTCCACTTACTATCCCTTCTTCCTGCATTCGTTCATCTCCTTCTCCACATGTCTCTCTCATTCTCTAGTTCCCCCTCGGTCTGCCTATCGCCATCTCTTTTTTTTCTTCTCTCCTTCTTCTACTCGGCTTCCTCTCACCGTCTATCTCATAGTCCGCATCTCCCTCCTATGTCCTCTCTCTCTCTCTCTCTCTCTCTCTCTCTCTCTCTCTCTCTCTCTCTCTCTCTCTCTCTCTCTCTCTCTCTCTCTCTCTCTCTCTCTCTCTCTCTCTCTATTTCTCTCTCTCTCTCTCTCTCTATCTCTCTCTCTCTCTCTCTCTCTCTCTCTCTCTCTCTCTCTCTCTCTCTCTCTCTCTCTCTCTCTCTCTCTCTCTCTCTCCTCTCTCTCTCTCTCTCTCTCTCTCTCTCTCTCTTCTCTCTCTCTCTCTCTCTCTCTCTCTCTCTCTCTCTCTCTCTCTCTCTCTCTCTCTCTCTCTCTCTCTCTCTCTCTCTCTCTCTCTCTCTCTCTCTCTCTCTCTCTCTCTCTCTCTCTCTCTCTCTCTCTCTCTCTCTCTCTCTCTCTCTCTCTCTCTCTCTCTCTCTCTCTCTCTCTCTCTCTCTCTCTCTCTCTCTCTCTCTATCTCTCTCTCTCTCTCTATCTCTCTCTCTCTCTCTCTCTCTCTCTCTCTCTCTCTCTCTCTCTTTCTACTCTAACACGCAGCAAAAGAAACTAAACACACACACACGCCAACACAAATATACACAGGCCTCGCGGCTGAGTGGACAGCGTTCTGGGGTTGCAGTCCTAATGGCTTGGGTTTCATCCCCGACAGAGGCAGAGTTTCTTTCACTCTGATGCACCTTTTCACCTAGCAGTAAATATGTACCTGGGGGGTTAGACAGCTGCTACGGGCTTCGTCCTGAGGATATGTGTGTATGTATTAGAGAGAAATATATGTAGTAGACATAATAGAGGACAAATAAATTGGTTAGAAAGGCGGAATCCAAGAGCTAATAACTCGATTCTGCAGATACAAATAGTAAATATACATACCAACACACACACACACACACACACACACACACACACACACACACACACACACACACACACACACACACACACACACACACACACACACACACACCTGTTCTCAGCGTGGTAATCACGTGTGAGCTCCTTATTGGGGTTGAAGAGGATGCCGTAGGAGTCGTTGCAGCGTGTGACCCAGACAGGAAGGGACGGTGTCTTGAGACGGGACCCGACAGTGGTCTGAGCCCCGTCCTCTTGCCGCCTCCACACCAGCAGTCCCACCTCCGCTCGTGTCACTATGCCCGTCTTGGCCTTCGCCTTTAACGTCAAATTTTCATTGGTTTACTTTTGATATGTTGGCAAAAAAAAACTATCAAGCTCTGCAGGTTATAAAGACCACAGTTAGACCTTTCTAGCTAACCTGCAAGTATATATTAATCCTGAACAATGGCAAACTTTCATATGCAAACGATGAGTCAAAATAAACGACTCAATTATGGACCAGAACGGAATCATAGTAAATACCAAAACCAAAAAGAAACGGAACGGAACGGAACGGTACGGAACAGAACCCAAAAGTAAATAAAAAGAAATGAACAAATATGAAATGAACAAACGAGAACATCTCGTTCTGGTTCGTTCATTTCATATTTGCTCATTTTTTTTTTTTACTTCTTTGGAGTTCATATATATTGTAATCTAGTAAGGTGCATATATAGCAATTTATAGGTTTCATCCTCCTGTTTGGTGGGTGAAGTCCTCTTTAGTTGGGGTTGAATTTACATCAAAATATATTAAAAAAAAAATATTTGGGTACACTGCTCTTCAGGGAATGTGTAGATATAATAAATATTGTAAATATGGCTGTAATTGTCATCCGAAGAATCAGAAGATATGAATGGTTCCTCTAACCCTGATCAAATTGGCTTGGAGAATATATTTGACTTGATCAATACATTTTACTGAGGCAATATTGCTGGCAAGACTCTGATTGGCAGCAATATATGATTCGGAGAAGCTATCTGACTTGTAAAATACATCTAAATTGTAAAATTGATCTTTTAACTTTTTTATACAACTTCATGTAGTGAAAAATACCCGACAGACAAAGGAAACAGTAATTAACAGGACTAATTATCCATAATGAGATTGGCAGCATAATTTCTGGCGAGACTTGGGAACTCTATGTTGTTGTTAAAGATTCGCTACCTGGAACAAAGTTCCAAGTAGCACGGGTTATGGTGAGCCCGTAGTGCCTTGGGAATTATAGGAATCTCGCCTACCAGACAGGGTCTACTGACCATGGAGTCCTCGGAGCCTTCATAGATGATGCCGTTGTGGAGGTAGTGTGTAGCCCGGCCGGTCAGCAGCAGGGTGGCTAGACACGGATGAATCGTCCCGTTACTCTGCAACAAACTTTGCTCCTCCCCGTCCATGTCCTCAACTATCCTGCAAAGAAATAGAGCGTGGCATTATTTTGGTACTCGTGGAGTACCTCGTTTAGTTGCTAAACTAATGAGGTAATCGGTTTAAGATTTTACATTTTTGACTCAACAATGGCCCAGCCAGATAACATGGTGCATGGAAATAGTTTTAATCATTTTGTAATGGAAAGTATAAATTGCTTCCTTAATCCTTGTAAAGCTATGTTTCTCGACAGCCAAGCTGCTGTGTACGACTAAAAGATAGTTTTTCGCCAAGTTTCGAAGGTATATCTTATACCCCACTCCTACCTCCAAAAAACATAATCCTCTTTTTTCAGTCCCTACTATCTACCGTTGTCGAACAGTAAGCCTTCTAATAATACATTATACCTACCCAAAACTACTACCCTAACAACCATCATAGCTACTAAAAGTGGAAGGATATTCAAACTATCAAATTTATCACGCCTTCCACTCTTCAAGATTGTTCATTAACTACAACACGAAGTTGAAAGGATAATTTTTTGTACACTTAGCATTCAACGATGATGAAGACAGCAGTAACTTACTTGTGTGGTTCACGAGAGAGCACCACACTGTACAGGAAGAGAAGCAGGCCGTTTCCATCCTCTGCCAGAAACTGTGGAACAATTAAGCAAAGTGAACGGCTTGAAATCATCAAAAACCTCATTGAACTTGGTTCAACACAATATTACACTTGCCTCAACACAGTATTACACTTGGCTCAACACAATATTACACTTTTTACACACAATATTACGACACAGTTTTGAGTGCGCCAACTTTATATTAACCTTCGTTTACCTGTTTAATTCAACATAATCTGTACATTTTAACATGCTAAAACGAAAACTATTTAATGAATAATAAGCGGCATCTGAAGCAAATGCTGATCATCCAGAATTTTCAAAATTTGTTCATATGTCACAATAATGCGAATTTCATTAATTTTTGGCTCACTGTAAGGAATAGTTTTTAATTTGTTGCTTCCCACTTTAAAGTAAAGTGGGAAGTTGCTTCCCACTTTAAAGTAAAGTGGGAAGTTGCTTCCCACTTTAAAGTAAAGTGGGAAGTTGCTTCCCACTTTAAAATAAAGTGGGAAGGTGCTTCCCACTTTACTCGTTAGGTCATTTCACTGCTGATGAAGTTCTTTCTAATATTCATGTGACATTATTGACTACTTCGTTACCACCTGTGTTTCTTAGGTCCAGTTTCTTCTACGACAAAGAGTATATATATATCTTCTCTATTCGATTCAGTTGTATATATCATTAACGTGGTGATTATGCCCTCCCTGATTCTATCTGTTCCATCTTTTTCATCTTCGACATTGTAAAATCAAATAGGAACCTGGATTTGTTATGACATAAATTATCATTAATACAAAATGCTAATGTATTCTCTTTTTCACTTCAGAAACTTCCTTATGAGTCAAGCTTATTTATTTAACCCTGGTAATAGTCACATGACGACAGCAACGTCAGTGGCCTCTTGACAGCTCCAAAATGCTGTGTGGACAGCATTCTCAGTTCTCTCTCTTCTCTTCTTTTGTAATAGAATTTTCAGATTGTGAGACAGGACCTAATGTTCCGAATCCCATGGTGCGGTTTTGTTACAAAAGCCCTACAAAAGCCCTACTTTGCAAATGTTTCACCTAGTTGAACTAGGTGAACGAGTTCATGTAGTTTGTGTGTAGCAGTGATAAAACCAACAGCTCCAGCCTCACACACAACACTAACCAAACCACCATCTTAAACTTAAACAATTGTTTCCATTTATAAGAAGATTGTGAGAACAGTGAGGTCTGTCATACTACATTCTAACTCTATTAATGAGTTTTGATACAATGTTGTTATCTTCAACTATCTTGTAGCTACTATTTTCAATCACTTTGTGTCATTACAAAGAGACCATCACAGGGATTCAATTTATTCTACTACATTTCATAGTGCTATTTTTGGGGGGTCATAGACCTTGAGTTGAATCTAATTCTAGCAAGTACTTCATTCATCTCTAGTTTTCTGAAAATGTAAGAAAATCTTTGCTCGACTCTGATACTTCCCCACATTATACTACTAAGGTGTAATATTACCAGCCTTACCTCGAAAAGATACTTCTTAAGGTTGAAGGTTAGTTCATCTTGTTTTTTGAATTCGAAGATGTGAATCTGAAAATGATACAGAGATAATAATTGTTTTCAAAAAAGTTTCAATTTTAAGCATACACACACACACCAACACATACACACACACACAAATACACCCACACACCCTCACAATGGATCGGAGGCTTTGATGGGCTATTAAAATTTAAATTCACCTGTAATCATGAGAGCCGTAATTTTGAAAAGACCTAAAATTAGCCTTAGTTTTATAGAACTCTAACGCGATCAAAAGAATTCCTGAATTGAATCAATGATGTCAAAAAGCGGACTTAAAAGCAGATGTAAGCTCAACAAGATGAGTACAATTAGGTGACTACAGGGTCTCGCGGCCGAGTGGTCAGCGTCCGTAATTCATAATCCAGGAACCCGGGTTTGATATCCGGCAGAGACAGAAACTTTCAGGCAGGAGTTTCCTTCACTTAATGTCTCTGTTCACCTAGCAGTAAATAAGTACTTTAGAGTTAGATAACTGTTGTGGACATGGCAGGAGGATGAGAAGACAGAAGGGAAACCGGGAGTCCCCCTAATATTTGTTGATGTATCCTGCATCAACAAGATGTAGGATACATCTGTAAATCAACTATACTGGGTAATCAACTATACTGGGTAATCAACTATACTGAGTAGTAAACAATACTGAGTAATCAACTATACTGGATAATCAACTTTAGTAATCAATTATACTGGGGTAAACAACTATGCTGGGTAATCAACTATACTGAGTAATCAACTATGCTGGGTAATCAACTATGCTGGGTAATCAACTATACTGAGTAATCAACTATGCTGGGTAATCAACTATACTGGGTAATCAACTATACTGGGTAATCAACTATACTGAGTAATCAACTATACTGAGTAATCAACTATACTGGGTAATCAACTATACTGGGTAATCAACTATACTGAGTAATCAACTATACTGGGTAATCAACTATACTGGGTAATCAACTATACTGAGTAATCAACTATACTGAGTAATCAACTATACTGGGTAATCAACTATACTGGGTAATCAACTATACTGAGTAATCAACTATACTGGGTAATCAACTATACTGAGTAATCAACTATACTGGGTAATCAACTATAATGAGTAATCAACTATACTGGGTAATCAACTATACTGAGTAATCAACTATACTGAGTAATCAACTATACTGGGTAATCAACTATACTGGGTAATCAACTATACTGAGTAATCAACTATACTGGGTAATCAACTATACTGGGTAATCAACTATACTGGGTAATCAACTATACTGAGTAATCAACTATACTCGGTAATCAACTATACTGAGTAATCAACTATACTGGGTAATCAACTATAATGAGTAATCAACTATACTGGATAATCAACTTTAGTAATCAACCATACTGAGTAATCAACTATGCTGCGTAACTGTGGGCTTCATCCCCAGGATTGCAGCCCATAACATCAAATAAACAATAATCAACATTTATACAATGAGAGATTCAGAAATAAATTAATAACACGCAATAATCAAATAATATTTTCTTTATAAAAGGTGAGCACCTGCCATTTTTGTTACCTGTCATTTGTTATATATTAACATTTAACTAATTGAACCCACAGAAAACAAATGATGAAATCCGTATCATTTGTGAAAACAAATGAAATAACTAATGCGAAAATTCTATACATAGCTTACGTTAATGGTATGTAAAATATGGTAATTAAAAAAATGGCTTAGCGTAAAACACCAATATTTCGTCGGGGCTTTAACTGAAGTGATCAGCGATAGGTCGTCAAGGGCTTTATTCTGAAAACATACAGAGATTCTAAGTTAAGAACTCAAGACTTTACTGTGATGGGTGTCAAGCGGTTGAGACTATAGTGTAATAGAAATCAAGAGGTCAAAGCTTTAATAGAATCGAAATCACGTGGTCTAGGTTTTAATGGGATCGAAATCACGTGTTCAAGACTTTAATGGGATCGAAATCACGTGTTCAAGACTTTAATGGGATCGAAATCACGTGGTCAAGGCTTTAATGAGATCGAAATCCCGTGGCTTTACTGATATAGAAATCACAAGAACCAGGTTTTACTGGGATATAAGTTCCAAGAATTGGGAAATGAGTTTCCCAATCTTGACGGCTGACATGCTATGGTCGTGCTCAGCCCCTCATCAAAAACATTGGACAAAACTTCGATAATCAGGCCGCCTCTCCCTCTCTAAGAAGGAGAAACAAACCACATGTGACTCACAGCTGTTTTCGTTCAATCCTTTTTTGAATATACAAAGCGTTTTTCACTTTTAAACATTAGGTATGACAGATGTTTTAACGAGACTCAATTGAACCATTTCTTCAAGTTCTAGGGAAAATGTGCAATCGTCAACATATTCATTCATTATATTTTATGTATAACCCAAACGAGCATATTGTCAGTATGTCCTACCCTCTCGGTGCAACCGTCGGATTGATAGGATGGGAAGTCTTTGACGTAGACGTTCTCCTGTGTGAGGCACAGAACGGCGTGTTGCCGCTCTCCGGCCTTCCACAGGATATCACTGAGGGCCCCCGCCAGTGCCTCTTCCTGCGCCTTCGCTGTCGCCCGTAGTAGCCTGAGGAGGAATGAAAAATCTTGGCATTGGAAGAGGAACATGTTTCTGGAACAGAATATTAAAAAAAGACAGCGTTGACGTGAAGCAAAATTGAGATTTCTTATATAATTCTGCAGATTGCAACAAACACTGCGACAACTACATAACAATAAATTGTCATCCACACTTCCGTGGATATAAACATTCCATTCACCTGGGCTCTAAGAGAATCGAACCGTAGACCCCGTGTGTGTGAGGATGAAGCTCTATCTACCAAGCTCAATAGCTCGTTTTATAGATCTTCTGCCTCACACACGTGGTGTCCACAGTTCGAGTCTCCTACAGCCCAGGTGAATGGAACTTCATGACACTTCCATTGCTGTAAATGACATGTAGTTTTTGAAGTCATAAAATTTTGCACAGTCTATTCAGCTTGGTGCTTGCTTTGGATTGTTACTTTCTTACTTAGTCATAACATATTTTGCCAGACGACTCAAACTCAGGAGTGGACACGTGATTGTGACTTACGAGGAGGGATCAGCCACCACCCTGGGGCCTCTCCTTGAGAAGAGCAAGTGTTTGAGGACGAACCCCTGGACACACATGGCCAGGCCTTTCGAGCTCGCCTTGGACATCTTGAGGCTGTATCCCTGGGCAGTATCGGCGTCGTTGAAACAAAAGGATTGGCCCAGCCACTCGCTCTCCGTCGACCCCATCAGTTCCGAAGAACCAAACACCTGTCTCCGCAGTTCCTGGAGGATATTACTTCCATTAGTATGAGGGTAGCGAGGAGCCACAACCAGAGGCACGGAAACACACATGAAAGTGAGACACATAAAGGTGGAGAAAGAGACGGAAAGCAATGGAGAGATAGAGTGGGAGCTGCAATATAAGGGGAAGAGAAAGATGGAAATGCATTTGTGTTGGACTTGCAGGTGTAGGGTTGAGAAGGACGGAGATACTGGAAAGGAAATAATTGAAAGTTTAAAAAGGGAAAGATGAAAGGATTGGAAAGACGTCCAGAGTAAGATACAGACTGCGTGGGATAGAGAAATGGAACAGTGGTGAGGTTGATTTGGATTGGCAGAGAAGTGTATATTGTCAGAGAGAGAGGGTGGGAAGGGTAAGGTATTGGAGAGAGAACGAGAGGGGAGGGAAGAAGATTAAACGGAATAAAAGAGCGGATAGTGTAAGAGCTGAGGAAAAAAGCAGAACCAGGAGAGAGAGACTCAGAAAGCGCAATATCAGATAAATTGACTACAACTATCGATTCTGAAACTGGCAATCGGAGTTATATCTACACCCACTCAATCTATATTTCAATATTTACACCCACTGAATCTGTATTTCTGTATTTACATCCGCCCAATCTGTATTTAAATTTTACACCCACTCAGTCTGTATTTCAATATTTACACCCTTTTCTGTCTATATTTATACTTAACTATACGTACTTAGCATTAATATAGGAATTCGAAACGAAAATCTTGAAAGGAAATTAGTATGCAAGTAATACCATAACTTTCTCAACGTGGCAAGTTAAAATTCAATGTAATTATATGTCATATATAAATCGATTCCATTTTCAGCCGTTTGACTCAACTATTGACTCATCTTTATGAGTCGTTATTCAGACTCAACCATTTTACCCATCCCTCTGTCTCTTCCCCATTAACCATTCCCCAGACTCATCCCCCTGACTTATCCCTCTTACCCCACCCCAATAACCCAGCCCTCCAATTCATCCATCTGACTCATCCCCTTAACTATAATAAAAATAAAAGCCACGGACTCTCTCTCCCATTTCTCGTATTTATTTTTAGTTCATAACAGCATTTCAGTTCCGACTTGTTTGTCTTCAAACAAGTAAACATACCTTTAGACCCCATAAGACTTGTGACTCTCCTTTCATGGACTTAAACACAGAGTAAATGGAATATTATATCTGAAATTACGGTTCAGACAAAAATATATATCAGGCTTTAGGGACCACATTAGGATAGGCGTCGCTATATTGCGAGACTCGTAATGTTGATGGAGTCGCTATGATGAGGGAGTCTTCATGTTAGTGGAGTCTCCATATTGAGGGAGACGCCCTACTGAAGGAATCACCAGATTGAAGGAGGCAATGGACTAAGATGTTAAGGTAAAAGGGGAACAGAAGAGAGGTAGTGAACACAATTGCCTGTAGAAGTGAGCTGAAGAGAGAATAAGCGTGAGGACCAAAGAATGAGGTGAAGACATGAAAGATATGAGTAGAATGAGAAAGGTATAGAGAGGTCCAAGTTACAGCCCCACTCCTGTGCCAGATAAGTCCACTAAGGGTCCACCATAGCTCATGCTACTTGGAACTTTGTGTTCCCAGTAGCTGAATCTTAAACAACAAACAACGTATAGAGAGAGGGGGAAAGGGGATAGGTAGGTGTAAGGAGGAGAACTGTGAGGAAGAAGGGGTTGAAAGGAGAAATATGAGGGAAGAGGTGAGAGGGAGTGAGTGGACTGCGTCAATAAAGGCATCAGGGTTGTATCGATCTGCCTTTTCTTTTCTCATCAGAGCCGGATGTTTGCGAAGGTTATTTTTGCCATGAAGAAATGGATGTTGTGGTCCCTGGTGTGGTGGTGGTCCCCTGGTGTGGTGGTGGTCCCCTGGTGTGGTGGTGGTCCCCTGGTGTGGTGGTGGTCCCTGGTGTGGAGGTGGTCCCTGGTGTGGAGGTGGTCTCTGGTGTGGTGGTGGTCCCTAGTGTGGTGGTGGTACCTGGTGTGGTGGTGGTCTCTGGTGTGGTGGTGGTCCCTAGTGTGGTGGTGGTACCTGGTGTGGTGGTGGTACCTGGTGTGGTGGTGGTCCCTAGTGTGGTGGTGGTCCCTGGTGTGGTGGTGGTCCCCTGGTGTGGTGGTGGTCCCTGGTGTGGTGGTGGTCCCTAGTGTGGTGGTGGTCCCCTGGTGTGGTGGTGGTACCTGGTGTGGTGGTGGTCCCTAGTGTGGTGGTGGTCCCTGGTGTGGTGGTGGTCCCCTGGTGTGGTGGTGGTCCCTGGTGTGGTGGTGGTCCCTGGTGTGGTGGTGGTCCCCTGGTGTGGTGGTGGTCCCTGGTGTGAAGGTGGTCCCTGGTGTGGTGGTGGTCCCTGGTGTGGTGGTGGTCCCTAGTGTGGTGGTGGTTCCTGGTGTGGTGGTGGTCCCTGATGTGGTGGTGGTCCCTAGTGTGGAGGTGGTCCCTAGTGTGGTGGTGGTCCCTGGTATGGTGGTGGTCCCCTGGTGTGGTGGTGGTCCCTGGTGTGGTGGTGGTCCCCTGGTGTGGTGGTGGTCCCTGGTTTGGTGTGGTCCCCTGGTGTGGAGATGGTCCCGGACATGTAGGTGGTCCTTGGCATCGTCGTGGTCCCTGTTATTCTAGTTGGTGAAGGTGGTGGTGGTGGTGGTGGTGGTGGTGGTGGTGGTGAGTATTGGTGGTGGAGCACACTTACCTATCAGTGATTACGAGAAGTGAGGTCTAGCTCTTTATTCCCCGCCTGCTCCCCTTGTTGTACATGTTGCCTTATAATTTAACTCTACTGATGTTCAAATTCTGAGTCGTGACTGGTCTTAAAGGTGAGTATGGAAGTGGCTTCCACAATTTCTTCTTTCAGTCCTTTCCACTTATAGACAATCCGTACAGCGCACGAGAACTTTCTTACATTTCTTCAACACATTTGAGTTCCCAGCACCCATTTACATGCTCGCTTCCTATTTTCTCTGACTTTACAAACCTGCCCTTGTCCACCTTGTAAATTCTCCCTCTACATCATTAAAAGTTGCGAAACCCCCTTCGCTTCTCCTCTTTTGCAGGGTTGTGAGAGCTAGTTCCTTTAACATGGTCTCATAATTCAGTCCCATTAGCTCGGGCACTAATCTTGTTGCAGTCTTATATATATTTTCAGTGGTGATTTTATGATTCCCAAGTTATGGATTACAAAACAGGTCTAACAAAGACTGCGTAGATTGACTTGAAAGAGCCCTAGTTTTCACTTCTAAGGCAATTTTTCAATGTTTGCCAGAATAATCATATGCTGCCGATGTTATCCTGTCTATGTGTGCCTCGGGATATAGTGTATATATAGCACACAGACATATCAATGTGTGGAGAAAGGGAGTGGAAAAGAAATTAGAATATTAACTCGCCAAATTTAATTTTACAGTTTCATTGGTGTGACACTAAATGATGTGGTTCGTTGAAGCTATCATCATCTTCGAAGGCAGCGAAGTGGGTACAAATTAGCTCAAGCTATAGTATATCTAACCAAGCAGGACGAGGTGAAGTTAGGTGTTATCTAGTCGATATTAGCTGCGTGATGAGTGTTTATCGTAGTTCTAAATACCACAAAAGTATATCCATCATGGCAACCTGAAGCCTAAGACGGAATATCCGGCACACACCTCATCTACCCCCTCCCCCTCCCCCTCCCCCCCATCCAGTCAACACGACTGGCTCCACTGCTACACCTGACTGTGTCAATATTTCCACGCTCGTTATAATGTCAAGGAGGTGGCCGAAGATCACGCAACGCCGTCAATGTGCCCGGTCAGTTACTTAATGGCTTGTCATATGCGCTTGTGTCGTCAATGGCTTGACGAATTTGGAACATTTATGGTTTAATGTGCCACACTCAGTATGACCCAGTTGCCACAATGATTAATCCCTTGGTCGACTCCAAGGGACTTCCGACCCCTCTGGTTTATTTTTAGACATCATGGGACTATTTTGAGACTTCTATTACATGGTGATTGTTTGTTGAGGATAAGAGAAACTGGGAAGGAGAAGCAATTGCGTAGAGGGCTATCTTGTATAGCTTCCAGGGATCAACAGCCCCGCGGCCCGGTCTCTAGCCAGGGAGTGAAAGAAAGAATGGAAAACAGATATAAGAGTTTCATGACTGAATCGATTTTGGGTCATAGCGCTGTCAAAAGAGATGAATCTTGGCAGAAATTGGTAGCAGGACTGGAAGTCACAGACCGAGTGTTCCAGTTTTGCAAAATAATGATAAACGTTATAGGTCGAGCCTAATTACGGGATGACTCGTTGGTCAATGTATCAGAGTGACAGACTGTCTTCCTGACAGTCTTGCAAACATTTCTGTCTGCGGGTTATTATGTCTGTGCACTTCTGTCCCTTTATTGTTCTCCCTCTTTGTTCTTATGTTTCTCTCACTATTTACTGAATGTTTAATATGTAAAAATAAGGTTAAATTCATATTATGAAATATTTAATAATGTCTGGGAGAACTTTATTATATGCTTCAAATCAATCACATCAGTGTCGTTAGTAAACGACGTCAGTAGACTACGTAACTAATGACATCAGAATCCGTGTATTAACGAGACTTCAGTTGGCTGTGTATCTAGTGCCATCAGTAGCCTGCATTTCAAATTACATCAGTAATATGTATATTAAGTTATATCAGTTGCCCCTTATCAAGTGACATCTTATTAATAATGATCATATCATGATATTTTATCAAAAATATGAAGTCGCAACACACATTATCAAACTTATTTCGTTTGATTCCAAAGTTCACTACTGGTGTGAAAATAAACAATATTTTTCTTCAATACAACCACGTTCTTTTTTGAGGTCAAGGATGAACACATTCCAGATGCCACCAATCAGCACCACGATTACGTCCACTGAATTGCGATCACAACATCTTTATCGATGGTCCGAAATAATAATAAAATCCATGGATACGATAACAAAGTCGAAAGAGGCCCTTAGACGTTTTTTACACATGGATCAAGCTCTCACTTGGTATGAAAGGATTTAAAATCCTGAAAATGGCCATTTGTGTGTTAAGTTTTTTTCATATCAAAAGATTCCCTGCTATCCTCTTGGTTTTAATTTATTTGGAGTCCATTAATTTGTCAATATTTTGAATGTGATTAGTTTCTCATAATCAATTGAAAAAATCCTTTTTCGAAAATTTGAATCTAAACCTTATATGTCTTCGAGGATTTCTTATGCAAACACCAATTCATATATTTGTTTATTGCTTTTGCCATCATTTCTTGTTTTTATTTTATCATTTACATCGTTCAAGAGCTCTACATTCTCACGTTATCACTTAGTTTCCGTTATATTAACGTAAAATTAAAAGATTTTTTTAATATTATGTACAAGCTTAAACGTTAAGTGAGTTGAGTTCTCTGATTTCCTGAGTGTCTGCACAATAAAGTCTGCTGTGGATATGGTAAGAAAATGTTCAGGAGCAAACGCTAAGCCAGTATGGAAGGAAAATTAGGACAGAATTTGACCTGGAGTATGAGGACAGAGTAGAGGCTCTTTGTACAGTCACATAGCTCATCGGGGGATCGAATGCTGATTTGCCGAAGAGAAGCTGTTCCGACAAGTTCAAGAAATTCTCTTGCAGGTTACACAATGCGTCTCTTGATGTCTCTTTCTGAGGTGAACTTTAAATTTGTGTCTCTTTTTAGCAGACATTATCTATCAGCGTATCATTTTCCTTCACGTCTTACAAAGCAGGCTTTCTTATCCTGAAGAAAAGACGACCTACTTTGAAACTTTCCTGCACCTTAATTATATTAACATTTCCCAGATGGTACTCTAGGTGTCGTCGAGGGTTGTATCTTAATATTCAAATTCAATTTAATCTGTTTCTAAAATTGTATTCCAGCGTTGGAAATTGTATTCTAGTATAGAAAGTAATGCACTTAGGTGGACGTGATTTTCTTTCTTAACGAGAACTTGGCTTAATCTTTTATTATTTCTACTGAGAATGGAACTATAAGATGGTAGAGTGGGGAATAACGCTTCCTCAGGTGGGAATTGTTACATTTTAAAGGGGGGAATAAATTTTACACCATATAGACTCGTGCATACATGAATAATGAAAGAAGATACTACACAGAGTAAAGTGCAAAATGATTTGAGAAATTGACATTATTCAAGTACGAACAGTTGCAAAGGAAAGTACTATCATATGTAAAGGAAAGTACTGTCATGTGTAAAAGAAAGTATCAACATATGGGGAAGAAAGAAACTAAAACGTTTGGGTCATTACTAATAAATTACAATGATATAACAGTAATATCACGTTTTGAGGGAAAGTTCCAAGAACTGTGTGACAGCACCAAAAAAAAAAATGGGGCAGTAGAGATTAGCGTGACAGTACTGAATGTCAGAAAGTACTCACTAGGGCAGTGTCGGCAGTGATTGGTGTCCCTCCGAGTATAGGGACCTTCTGCACGGAACCTTTGGGCTTCGTCGGATACAACACTCGCTCTGAGGAAAGACAAATGTTTAGATCGGGAGAAAGCAAGTCATATACATATGAGATAGGCGAACGGGAACATTGTAACTTGGCTTTTCGTACATTGTTCGATAAATACGTGTTAAAACTGCAAGTATCGTTAGGTTAATATGGGTTTATATAGGTCAAGTTTTATGTATATATATATATATAATATATATATATATATATATATATATATATATATATATATATATATATATATATATATATATATATATATAATATATATATATATATATATATATAAATATATATATATATATATATATATATTTATATATATATATATATATATATATATATATATATATATATCAGATATTCTGCCGTATCACATATATTTGCTGTTCAGACTTTTGCATATCTATCAGTTGTTTACTCATATGATATTTTTAAGTTGTACAGTCTTAACACATCGATCAGTTCACCAGTCTAATCCTGTCTATCAGTTTCTAATCAAATATCTATAATTAAAATCATTTAAGAGCATTAAACCATTAATGTACCACAGATCTTGAGTGTAAATAATATACACACACACACTACCTCTGCCTAAAGTAATTGTATACAATTAATTTAATCATTTTTTTATAATCGCAGCTTCTAATTGTAAATTGACATAGCATGCATTAAACAGCCACAAGCAAAATATAATTAATAATTATAATTGTTGATAATTAGTAAATAAAAGCATAAGAAGCATATTAAGTGAAAGAAATCTTTTGGAGCAATGCGGTGGGATCAAACTTGCGTAACCCAGACACCCGCATTACCAACTAGACCATAATGAGCATCTGGTAAGGGTGGAGACTTATGACGCGAGTTAATTATCATCGCATAACCCCCAATGGATTTTATCACAGATGTCTCTCGCTCATGTGATGTCAGTGTGCAGTATATTAAGTATACGGGTGACAGGTGACAGGTGACAGGTGACAGGGGATACAAAAAAGTTAACTAATCAACACTAGTAAAACAGTCTTTCTTGAAAGCGGATAATCAAGTTCAATTAAATATCTTCCCTGTAATCTTAGTAACGAGAAGCCAAGAGGGTCAAATATTGCTTTCAGGCTAAGTTTCCCCATTGGGGAAAAACAGAGCATGACGAGGTAAACTAAAGCAAACTATTGTAAATTAAACCATGCTGGAGGTAAACAGAAGCACGTAGTGGTAAATTCGAGCATTCTAAGGAACACTAGAGCATACATAGCTAAGTTACAACATGTAAACTAGAGCACTTCTGGGTAAATAACAGCCCTCTAAAATAAACTATAGTTTACTGAGGCGAATAAGAGGGTCATAAGAATTAGAGGGCATAAACGAGAGAGAGAGAGAGAGAGAGAGAGAGAGAGAGAGAGAGAGAGAGAGAGAGAGAGAGAGAGAGAGAGAGAGAGAGAGAGAGAGAGAGAGAGAGAGAGAGAGAGAGAGAGAGAGCAAGTGGTACTTACCTTATAAGTGAAACCAATTTTTTTCCTTGCCTACTAACTTCACTGTGATGAGAGGGGGGTGCAGCCAGCAAATTTGTGCCTCTACCTCTTATACACATCTCCCCTCCCACGCTCCCGTTCCTCTACTCATTCCATCCCTCAACCCCTTCCATCTACCTCGTCCCTACACCCATCACCGCCCCTTCCCCACACCCACCCCCCTCTGTATCCCCATACCTGAACAGAGTCCGCACGCTAATTAATAATCATGAAGCAGCCCATTACCAGCTGAAGAAGTGCAAAGGATTAACCCTGGGGATTAATCAAGGAGATTAATCATGGGGGATTAATTTGCATGTAAGGATGACGGAATGTTGTTTGAGTTCGAATTAAAAATTAAAAGTTGCAGGTAAAAGTGGTAGGAAGCAGGGTGTGTAATGTTAGATAGGAGAATAAGGAGATACAGAGGGTAAGGGAGAGAGAGAGAGAGAGAGAGAGAGAGAGAGAGAGAGAGAGAGAGAGAGAGAGAGAGAGAGAGAGAGAGAGAGAGAGAGAGAGAGAGAGAGAGAGAGAGAAGAGAGAGAGAGAGAGAGAGAGAGAGAGAGAGAGAGAGAGAGAGAGAGAGAGAGAGAGAGAGAGAGAGAGAGAGAGAGAGAGAGAGAGAGAGAGAGAAGAGAGAGAGAGAGAGAGAGAGAGAGAGAGAGAGAGAGAGAGAGAGAGAGAGAGAGAGAGAGAGAGAGAGAGAGAGAGAGAGAGAGAGAGAGATGGGTGGAGGAGGAAGATAGGGTTTGGAAGAGGAAGGGAAAAAGGATGCAAAGGAGGAAAGGAGGGAGGGCGTAAGGAGAGAGAGTAAAGTAGAGGGAAAGGATGAGGGGTTTAGATGGAAGAATGTGGGGAGCGAGGGGGAAAGTAAGAAAGAGAAACAGACAGAAAGGAGACAGAAAGAGGGAGAAGGAGAAAGAGGAAGAGAAGAAGAAACAAAACGAAGTCTACACTAGTATATACCACTATAAAATAGGTCAACAAAATTGCAGACAGACAGACAGACAGACAGACAGACCGATAGACAGACAGACAGACAGACAGACAGACAGACAGACATCACAAGACGCAGGTATGTCAGTAACTCACCTGAACCATGCTTCTCTGTGCCCAAGAGGAGAAGTTTCTGATACAGACTCTGCCTCTCTGTCCTAGACTTACTCATGGTCGGTCAGTTTAAGGAGAGTTCAGTGTATCTGTATACCAATTTTTGGAACTCTTTACCCGATGGTCACTAAGGTATTTGATCTCCTCATTAAGATATCGTGAGTCTTATGAAAAAAATATTTGAATTACAAACTGTAATATATTGTCTTACACAGTAAACACATATTATAAATGAGTAACTTTGTATAAACTGTTCATTTTATAAAGTAATTTACGCTACAAAACTTTCGATTGTAACAAAAAAATCCTCAATTTGTTTTCAGAATTTGTAATATTAAAAGAAAGAATTAAAATATTGCGACATAATGATAAGACAATTTCCTGAGTTAGACATTTAGTAAAACATTTAATTTCAGAGTCACATTGACGGCATTCTATTCCAGGCAAGGCGGTAATCTTGGAAGACGCACGTAATCTTTTGTGTTGTTTCCTAGCAGCTGTTCATGTCTCGCCCTCATGCCACGAATGTGTAATTATTTGTTATGTAATTATTTGAAAAAAATAGGCATGTCCAAAGATATTTACAGAAGATGCTTGGATATACATATTTGAGGCGTTTGAAACCAATATTAAACATTTATATAAAGACTTTTTAAAATTATAATTCTTTGTCACGTGGTTTGGGTAAACATGTTTCATATTATCAATAAAAAAATAAAGCACGCAGACCTTTAAACAAAATATCAAAGGACTGTGAATATCTTTCAAAGTCCATGTTGTTTTTATTTCACTTAATTATGTAATCCATTTCACTCGGTAAATTGCCTCAGCGCGTACTTTTAACTTTCCAGTGAAAATCATAAACATTTCATTACCACATTGTTGATATTTTATATATAATAGCAGCATCACTTTTTTCTTTGGTGAACACAACCACTATTTTTTTGGTTCTACAAGGAGTGCAAGTTGTACCTCAGGAACCATGATTTATCAAGCACTCGAGCTTCATCCTAGGATTCCAGAATAGACAAAATATCCGGGATTTCCCACCAGAACCAGACATATGCAAAATACCAGGGTTTCATATCAGATTGATGAATGAACCCAGTTTAAATCCCTGGATTTCAGATTGTTCAAAGTACCCAGATTGCATCCTAGGGTCTAATTTTTTCCCCTAAAAAAATCAAAATTTATTTTGTCAAGACTTTTCAAAATACCTTGATTCATCCCATGATCATCACAGGACCGAGAACTACAGCCTTACAAAAGAACCTGGGTTTCAAAACAGGACCCCAAGACATGATTGAGCCCCGGATTTCATCCCAAGATCCGTGTCCAAGTGTTAAAAACCATGTTTTTGTGGTTGGAGGAAAATGATGTATTACTGTACACGATCTATGTTACTTTACACGACCTGGGTTTCTCACCATTATCTGTTTCATGATCTGGGGTTCTTTTTATGACCAGGGTTTCTTTCCAAGGTATGGATTTCTATCCAAGAATTGGGTTTCTTACAATAACGTAGTTTCCATAACTTGAGTTCCTTTCCATAACCTGGGCTTCATTTCATAATTTAGATTTTGATGAACAGAACACAAAAACTGAACAGAAAACAAAATAAGAAATAGAAAAACAACAGAGTGGATGTAACACGAAGTAAGTTACCCCAGAAAAAGATGCATTATCTTACAAATTGGTAAGATGTAAATTACAACAGATGTAACAGTGCACTTTACCACTGGAAACTTGCTCTAAGTAGCAGCTGACTTAGGCTCTGTGCGTTATCAGGTGGAAGGATGCTGTAAGCACCCATGAAAGGGAAGGAGATAAGATGTTGGGAGTTTCCAAGAGATAGAAAAGACTGTGATTTATCAACTAAGGATGCATTTATTGACCATGGGAACGGGGGGACGACTTGCTATTAATTAACATGGGAAAGTGGGGAGACATATGCTATTATTTACCATGAGGTGAGGGAGGGGGTATGTGCTTTTAGTAACAAAATGGGTCACGTGTATGTTATTAGCTACCATAGGGAACAGGAGGGATGCTATTAGTTACCTTGAGGTCAGGAGGGATCCTATTAGTTACCTTGAGGTCAGGAGGGATGCTATTAGTTACCTTGTGGTCAGGAGGGATGCTAATAGTTACCATGGGGTTAGGAGGGATGTTATTAGTTACCATGGGGGATCAGGAGGGATACTATTAGTTACCATGAGGTCAGGAGGGATGCTATTTGTTACCACAGTGTCAAGAGGGATGCTATTATTTTTCAAGAGATCGGGGAGTAACAAGCTAGTAGTTACTTAGGGGTGAGAGGGGAATATACTAGTAGTTACTAAGAGAAGACGTGAAGGCTAAACCATAATAACGTACCCAGACATCTCCTGAGC